ATAGCCACTTAGAAATGGGATTGATCGGCATCCGTTTGGTTGCCATGTATAGCAAGAGGTCAATACACGTGGCCCGCCCATGTTAAGACAGTACAACGACATCGTTTTGGTTAAGTCTCTGGCACTTTCTACTTCTCTCTCGGCAAGAAAGCAACTCCCAGTCCCAGAGAAGAAAATAATAAAAGAATCAGTCACTCAAAACAAGCACATATTGCCCAGAAACAAAGCTCCAAAAGCTTCACCTGTTCGTCTTTTCTTTTTATTGCACAATCGCAAGCCTAGAAAACTAGAAAATTCATAAAAATGGATTTTAGGTGAGTGACTTTGGCTGATGAGACTATCAATGGAAAGACCTGCCTTCCAAAATCCATTACGAGGTTTAGAAGAACTGCCTCAAAGCTCTGCTCTGACTCTTCCTCGGCCCTCTTGTCGGCATTTACACGAAAGTGATTAGCCAGTTATTTATCAATCACTTTTACTTAAAGAAGCAAAGCTGCTTGCTTTTTGTTTTCCAGCTTGCAAATTTTGCCTCTTTGATTTTAATGTCTTGCGCAAATAATAGTCTTTTCATAAAAGAATTTGTAAACACAACAGATAATGTCCAGTATTACAAGGAAAGAAAGAGGGAAGTTGGCTCTCCGGTGTTGAGAAAATCTCATACATTAGTACCTGGCTGAAAGTCTGCAAACCTGTTCAAGGTTGTGGGTCATTACATGATCGAAATGCTCTGTATTTTGAATGATTCTGCTGTGGAGGACGATCCAGAACAAATACTTCTCTCCTTCTACGACTCACTCCGCTGAGTGAGCTTATCTTGTCTTTTCTTCTCTTGTCTGATTCCTTTTCTCGATCATCTAAAACTTCCTCTTCACCCTTCAATGGTCTTTTTTTTTTTTTGTTTTTTTCACGTTGTACCTCAGCAATAACAATCTGTCAACTATTTTTCCCTATCAAAACTTTAGAAACTCAAATGAACATTAATCCCTGTTTATCCGTTGTTTGCTTCTCCTTTACAAAGAGCAATAATGGGGTCGATGTTAAGATTCCGATTTTGGGCTTGGAATGATACCCAGTTACCCAACACAAAATGCCAGGCCCAGGAGACATAGGGTTTTAGACGAGATTGATCTGTTTTATTTAATTTATAGTAAGAAATTTGTTTCAAGAGGCCTTCGTGACCGCTGGTGTTATTCTCCTCTTTCCCTGTAATACTCAAGGTGCCAAAGCTCACAATGGGGAGAAGTAAGTCGATTATTTCTTCTCAACTTTTGATTTGTTTCGATAACTATGTGAAAAGACATCCATGTTTTGATAATTACTGTCTTCTTTTAATTATTGTTATGGACAAATTATATGCTTAGATGGATGAATAGTCTCCGAGTAAGAATGTCCTAGGACCAGGATATTTAATTGTTTCTTGAGTTTATGAGTATCCAAATCCAAACCATTAGAACGTAGTCAGAAAATTGTCGAATCTCATACTTCACGTGGGAATAATAATCACTTCGAGTTTCTTGTATATTCCTGTTCCGATATCTGAATAATGCATAATTAGGAGACAATCTAATGTTTAGTGGTTGTTTTTTCCCCCTCTTGCGAATAAGAAATACCAACAATAGTTTCATATTTATTGTTAACTTTTTGCTATATATAATATTTTTCCTCTTCGAGGTGGTGAACTAAGTGTCTGGCTCAAAAATTTTATTTCTTGTTCTTACCGCTTTTGCTGTCTTTTTGTAAACAGCATTTCAAATTCACAAATCTAAATTTTTGATTATGAACTCTGAAAATACATGGAATACATTATGAATCCTGTAATCTGAATGGCTGGGATCCTGGAAAGAAATTGTTTTTATTGGACTTCTCATCTGACTTTATGATTTACTGGTATTTTAATGCATTGCATCCCTTTAATAGGACCAGCAAGGTGTTATAGGCAAATCAAGAACAAGCCATACCCCAAATCAAGGTATTGCCGTGGTGTCCCTGATCCAAAAATCAGAATTTATGATGTTGGGATGAAGAAGAAAGGTGTTGATGAGTTCCCTTTCTGTGTACACCTTGTGAGTTGGGAGAAGGAAAATGTCTCAAGTGAGGCACTAGAAGCTGCTCGTATTGCCTGCAATAAGTACATGACCAAACATGCTGGAAAGGATGCATTCCATTTGAGAGTGAGGGTGCACCCATTCCATGTTCTGAGGATTAATAAGATGCTTTCGTGTGCTGGAGCTGACAGGCTTCAGACTGGGATGAGGGGTGCATTTGGAAAACCACAAGGGACATGTGCCAGAGTGAACATTGGTCAGGTTCTCCTTTCTGTTCGCTGCAAAGACAGTAACAGCCAGCATGCACAAGAGGCCCTGCGCCGTGCTAAATTCAAGTTTCCTGGTCGTCAAAAGATTATTGTTAGCCGGAAATGGTATGCATTATTTTCTTACAGTCTGCTACAAATATCTGAACAAAAACTTTCAGATGACTCCATATACCGCATATATAAAATCTTATGTGTAGGTCATCATAATTAAACAGTAGAACTTGGTCCAGCATTCATCCTATGGGCTTCGTTTGTGTTCTTGTGGTGTGATTCTTTTTTTTTTTTTTTTTTTTGTGTTCTTGTGGTGCTGATTCTTTTTTTTTTTTTTGTTTTTTTTTTTTTTTGGGGGGGGGGGGTGGGAAGGGAGGAGTGGGCATGTATAGGGGGTGGGAAGGTGAGGGAGTGGGCATGTATAAGTCTAAATGTTTGGTGAACAATTGTTAGTAGCAATGAACATTTAGATGCACATGATCTGGTTTTCAGGTCTTTCTCATGCTTGTCTTGCCTATCTTTCTGGCAGGATTTACTTCTCATATCATAGGAGGCAATTTTAAATCTCATTAACTACTGTTTCTGATTGTCTATCTTAGGGGCTTTACCAAGTTCAGCCGTGCTGATTATCTGAAATGGAGGTCAGAGAACAAGATTATGCCAGATGGTGTCAATGCAAAGGTATTTTATGATTGTAGAAGCATTTGGGTTCCTTGAAACTAAAAATTAAATTTCTGTATTGGTGTTATCTACCAATCTATCCGACGTTTACTGCTTTTCTGGCATTTACTTGGCTTATATTGTAATGAGGTTACTGATGCATGAGTTTTGATCTGTGACACTGCAGTTCCTTGGATGCCATGGACCGTTGGCAGATCGACATCCCGGAAGAGCCTTTTTGCCTACACCAACTGCTTAAGCCATCTGTTAGCAACCATAATGCTATATCTCAAGAGACTTGTTTAATTGACTCATTTTTCATTGTGTACTTTGGGACATGGAGTTTTTAGCCTCCTATGCACATTTTTGTTTCCTAGCTTGTTCATTGCTGTGCCTTCACATGGAAAAACAAAGTATGAGAATTTATGAGTTATAACCTTTCACATCATAGTTTGTAGTAATTTTAAGCTGCAGGTTTCAATGACTTCATTTGGACAATACATTTCAAAAAAAAAAAAAAAACAAAAAAAAAAAAAAAAAAAAAACAAAGACATTATACAAAAATATTACTAAAGATTTGATTTGTGAAATAGTTTGGGAATTGGACAGAGCTCCTATTCCCATGTTTTTCCAACCTATGACTACTAAATCAATGCAAAGGCTTTACCTGATTACTGTCAATGATTAATGCAACCACTATACTTTATTACTATTTTTTTCATATTAACAATAAATTGAAAATAATATGGATTTTTATAATTTTAAAATTTAAATATTTTATATTGTCTATACATTAAATTTTATAATGTTATTAATCAAATAAAAAAAAAATAGTTTTTAAACTTAATTGCAAATAAAGAAAAAAAATCTTTTTAAAACGCACAGGGAGAAAATTACTATTGCCTTTTATATTTGTCGGTTCTTGACACCTTAAACAAGGATAATAGCCAGATACCATTGACCGTGAAGGAAACGGCAGCCCAAAACGGAACATCCTATGTCTCGCAAGACGGGTGCAGTCCTCTCTCACGTTGCTGCTCGCTAATTTGAATGATTGAATTCGATGAAATTACGAATTTTGTGAGCTTGATTACCTTTCGAGTAACCTACCAAAAAAAAAAAAAAAAACAAAAAAAAAAAAAGACATTAATACAAAAATATACTAAAGATTTGATTTGTTGAAATAGTTTGGAATTGGACAGAGCTCCTATCCCATGTTTCCAACCTATGACTACTAAATCAATGCAAGGCTACCTGATTACTGTCAATGATTAATGCAACCACTATACTTTATTACTATTTTTTTCATATTTAACAATAAATTGAAAATATATGGATTTTTATAATTTTAAATTAAATATTTTATATTGTCTTATACATTAAATTTTATAATGTTATAATCAAATAAGAAAAAAATAGTTTTTTAAACTAATTGCAAATAAAGAAAAAAAATCTTTTAAAACGCACAGGAGAAATTACTATTGCCTTTTATATTGTCGTCTTGACACCTAACAAGGAATAGATAGCAGATACCATTGACCGTGTAGAAACGGCAGCCAAAACGACATCCTTGATGTCTCGCAAGACGGTGCAGTCCTCTCTCCGTTGCTGCTCGCTAATTTGAATGATTGAATCGATGAAATTACGAATTTTGTGAGCTTGATTACCTTCCGAGGTAACCTACCAGCAACACTGCTCACCGTTCTATTCTTGTTTTAGCGTCAAATTTTCACATTGCCAACCAATTTGTGTTAATTTTGAATCTAAATTTCCGAAAACAGCCATGTCGAGACCTTCCCCAAGGATCATCCATGGACTACTCAAACTTCACTATTACCATCATATCTCTAGCTCAAATCCATTATCTGCAACATCTTCTCTCACCTCTAAAATTGGCACCTCACTCACTAGACCTTACTCAAATGGAGTCTTCAATTCCACGCCTTTAAACTCTCGAATCTACTCCAACCCGTCTTTTTTTTCAAAACCTGCTTCCCCAAATGGAGGTTTGTCTCAAGTTCTCTCATGGACAAAACCAAATTTCTCATCTTCATTGAAGACTTGCTATGGAGTGAGGCGGTTTTCTTTTAAGACTTCTTCGGATTTTGGCAAAACGGCCGGTGGGAATTTTGCAAAGAAGGTTTTTGAAAAGCCGGCTACTGCTGTTAACTCTACTTTCTCTAGGTATCGTGAGGCTATAGCACTCCAAATTGAAGCTTTTTGGAAGAGAAATGTTCTGTTTGTGCTTGGGGCTGGAGGAGTTGTAATGTGTGCTTTGATTTGGAGGATTATGTTTGGCGTTGCCAATACTTTCGTTGGCCTTTCTGAAGGCATGGCTAAATATGGCTTCCTTGCTCTTTCTTCCGCCATAGTTGCCTTTGCAGTATGTTCTTTTTTCAATCTGATTTGGACCTTATTCTATTTACTTCTTGCCAATGCATTGAGTTTGCGAGCTTATAGAAAGACATTAAATTATTGTTATAGTTTAAATTGAACCCATTTAGATAAGTACTCGCTGCAAAATTAAAATGAGCTGCTTCTTACATTAATGTTATTTCTTCAATAACATTTCTGGAACATATAGAGCCATCAAAGTGTAGTTTTTGAATAGGCATTTCATTGAACAACCTGTATTAAAAATGTCCTTTGTCTGAGGATCAATGATGATATTGGCATTTGAAGGATGAAAATAACTTATAAGTATCCCTTTTTGGCTCAGGAAATTTTGTGATGCAGAACTTTTTAATGCGTGGAAATTTGATGAAACAATAGAATAGTAAATACATGTCTTATATGCCATAAACAAGAAGGGAGGGAAGTTGGCAAATCAGTTTTCATTCATCATTGCAATTTGGGAAGCACCTTTTAATGCTTGGTGTCTAATGCCACTGGAGTCAATTGGGTCTCTTCAGGGAATGTAAAAGATGAGATTGGCAAAACTACTATCACACATGCTTCCAGGCACTTGTTACCGGCATGGTGCTAAAATGCAGATTCTGACAATAGTCGTGCATTCATGCTTCAGGATTCCAACTTCCATTTTGTTATAATTGAAATGATCAATGTTTCAACATTTTTTATAGACTTTTGGAATGTGAAATCCCTGCATTAAATGAAAAAATGGATCTTGTTGAACTGTTGCATTTTATTTGGAGCAAGTATTGTTTGAATTGTTGCTGCAGAAAAGCATGTCAAACTTACAGATTACCATTTACATGTATAATGTTTCTTCTTACTGCAGGGACTGTATATTCGCTCTAGAATCACAATCAATCCTGATAAGGTTTATAGAATGGCTATGAGGAAGCTTAATACTAATGCTGGGATTCTTGAGGTTATGGGTGCTCCTCTCACAGGCACAGAATTAAGAGCCTACGTGATGTCAGGGGGTGGAATTACTCTGAAGAAATTCAAGCCAAGGCTTAGAAGCAAACGTTGTTTTCTCATCTTCCCAATACGAGGTTCTGAGAGAAAGGGTCTGGTCAGTGTTGAAATAAAGAAGAAAAAAGGCCAGGTTTGCTTTTTGTCATGTGAATATGTTGAGTATATGATTTTTCAGTTGGTGTAAGTCCTGTGAATTGGGTTGATTTTCTTATTTTGCCTCTTTTGATATGAATTGATGGCCCTTTATTGAATTTCTTCTAAATTAATGCCTTGCTTTGTTTGAGAAAGCAAACTACGTTGCAGTAATGAGTTCTTGCTATATTCATCCTTCCCTCTCTCTCTCTCTCTCTCTCTCTCTCTCTCTCTCTCTTCAAATGATGAACTTTCCTGGAATTATTGAAGTGTTTGAGGTCATAATATGTTTTCCATGAAACAAATGGCGTAAATCCTGCAGTGAGATCACATGGTGACTTGTGAAAATAACTTATCTATGTGGTGATTCCTGGTGGCTGGTATAAGCATTTAGCCTTTTGTTGGATCTTTTTAGTCAACAATAATAGGAGTGAGAGAGAGAGAAGCTAGGTTTACTTGGGCTTGTGATCAGAAAGAATTGTCAGTATGTGTAGCCTCTGTTTTCGAATGTTGTTCTTCAAGCATGTCAGATGGGCACAATTTGCATAACAACTTTAAATTTCTGTTGCTCTATTTTAATTATGCTTGCAATTATCCTTCTATATTTTTGTGCATTTTGCAAAATACGATCCATTTGTTGCTATTGTATATTGACCAATAAGTGTTGACAGCTCATAGGAACCAAATGTCAGGAGGAGTGGAGCGTAATTGATTGTCACACACATTCCCTTCTGCTGCAGATAGAGATAATAGAACCTGCTATGATGATGCTTTGATAATAGAAACTGCTATGATGATGCTTTGATAATAGAACCTGCTATGATGATGCTTTGATAATAGAACCTGCTATGATGATGCTTTCTGTGCATAATCATTCTTGCATATGTCTAAAACGTGAACTTGCCCAAGCTTCTAGTGCATGCATCTCTTGGATTTCTTTTCATTTGATGATAATGAGATTGCATATTCATAGAGATACTTCAATGATAATATCTGATGTTATTATTTTGCTGTGCAGTATGACATGAAACTATTGGCTGTTGACATTCCTATGGCATCAGGACCTGACCAGAGATTATTTCTGATTGGAGATGAAGATGAGTACAAGATTGGTGGTGGACTAATATCTGAGCTGAGAGATCCTGTTGTGAAAGCAATGGCAGCCAAAAAGGAATTTGATGATCTTGATGAAATTGAAGAAGAAGAGGATGCTGAGAGAGAACGTCAAGAAGCAGAAAGAAAGCATCATGAGCAACTCGAAAAGCTTGAAAGAGGTGGTTCATAGCGCTAATCCAAAAGGATTTTCTCTCTCAAAAAAAAGTGTTTCTCTCCATTCTTTTATGTCTTGTTTTTCCTGGATTTTATTTTGAATAGATGCCTGAGGCTTGATTTAGTGCGCCTTGCATCTGTATCAGAGTAGAGTTTTGCAAGGTTTTTTCTTTAAACTGCTAATGTTCAGCTTCGGAAATCTCGAAAGATTAAAGTTGAGATGGTTTAATTGAAGCAATAACAAGCATACGACTGGAAGCTATGATAACTGGAAATGCAATTTTCCTGATTTGATTGGTTGCTTTATTGTATACAAGATTCCTAGCATCTCATTCTACTTCCCTTTTGAGGCAGTATTAGTATCTTTACACCAGCAACTTTTAAAGTTTTATGAATAGTCAGTCTTGTATGATGGCATGCTCTAATTCCCCTTGGAATGAAGCCTATAATAATTTCTTTTCATGGAAGAGGAGTATAGTGAGGAGTCCTAGTTCTTCAGTTTATTTCTTTCTGATTCTCTTTAACTTCTTGAATACAACTGTTGTTTTCATTTTGCATGTCTAGTTACAGCTGTGGTTTGTAAGCATGTTGCATATTCAAGTCAAGCCATATTTGCTTCATCAGAGACTGCCATCGAACCACCCTTTTTGTGCGACCGATAGGAGCAGGTTGGACGCGGTTCATGGATGGTGTGGAAGTTGGAAACACAGATACATATGATAAGCACTATGAGATTGCAAACACATGAAGCCTAGCTAAATGATATGGTTAAGCATGAAAAATTATTATTTCTTTGAAACAATTCATATATGCGCAATTTTCATTTTGGCTGAAGTGGCAAGAACAAAAAAAAATTGTTAAAATGGTTGTAGTTGCTAATTTTCTTTCATTCACTTGAGAAAGAGACTCGACAGTTTGGTGTATTTAAGATCATAGCTACCTACTGCGGCAGCCAACAATAAAAAAGAAGGCAGGATAGTGACTTGATTGAATTAGCCAACTACCATCAACAGGCTTGAATTAAAGAGTTTGGCCCCATTTTCGTTGTCTCAACAGGTCATTCTGTTGAAGTTGGATATCCTCAGTTTCAACCCATTTTATGGGGTATCTTTATACATTAGATTCCTATACCTGGCTGGTTACATAAGTAGCTGGAAAAATCAAACAATGACATACAACTAGCAAAGACAATGTGCTTCATTTTACTCCCCAACCATCTATAATGGCCTTACTAAGAAAAATAAAAGTAAAAGAAGTAGAAAGAAAGGACCCTACCATGTGCTATGAGTGGAAGTTGAAGCTCGTTGTGATTGTTGAGAATGAAGTCAAAGCAAGGAATGATCTCCCCATGCTTGAAATCATCATTTCTGTTGCCAGAATATTCAAATCCAATATAATGAACAATTTCTATTTAACAGGATTAGGCTCCAGTAAATTACTTTTGTAAGCTCAGCAGTTTGAATTATTTTCCCCTGTCAGAATGAGAAAAGGAAAAGGTATTATTTTGTAAGCTCCTTCGAGTTCTTTCCTCTAGCTTTAGGAGTTTCTCATCCATGATTCTTACAGTGAGGTAGGCATTAATGCATTATAGCTTGTTGGTGGGTGGAAATTCACTGATCTCTGCCTGTGGATGCATTAAATTACGGATGTTTTAGCTCCTCCCCAAAAAAAGAATAATTGAGAAAAGAAGGAAACTGTTTTGCGTTGAGTTTGAGTTCTGCAACTCTGAAGTGCTTTTTAGTTAATGTGAACATTAAAAGTTGCTCTCTTTCATACTCACTGATAATGCTTCTGATTGTGACAGATAATGGCTGGGAGGACTAGACGTTTCTGCTGCTTCTACTATACCTATATGGTGATTTCAACTGCAAGTCACGTGAGTCTTCTCCTTTCTTGTCTATTTGTAATTGTTTTAACACAATTTGTCATTTTGATCTTTTTGGACTTCAATGTCAAACCTTTGTTGCCTGTTCGGTTTATTATGGAAATGGAAATTATAATTTATTGCAAAGTTCAGCAGATTATTCTATTCTGTCGTTTGGTGTACAAGAAATGTTGGTTTTTTTAATGGCATTCTTGCATTTAACTTGGGTGAAAATGAAACTTAATTTTTGAAAAACATCATTAATTTACGTATTTAATAATTTAAAATAGGAATGAAATTACAGTGAAAATCTTTGAAAATGATGTTTGGATAACATTAAATAATTTATCAATCCTCATCTTTCTTTTAAGGGGAACCAAATTAAGTAGCGAGTTGTGGATTGGTCAGCATTAGCAAAAAAGTAATTGCATGTTTCCTTTGCTTCCTTCAGATTTCCTGTTTGTCTTCAGCTTTGTATGGTTATTTCCTACGAGTTTCCTTCTTGTCCTGTTCTCATTTACTTTCTACTTCTAACAAATATTTCAGGTTTTCGCCTCAACTCTCTATAGTTCAAAGCAACTGGGAATGGTGTCAAATTCTATGCTGGTAAGTGGCATCTAATTCTTTAAAACGCCAATTACAAAAAGAAGAAAAGAAAAGAAAAGAAAAAGAAAAGTTCACCGTTTTTTTTCTTTATGGAGAAATGCACTTCCTTTAACAGAGCAAAAGAGAAATGGAACTTTTTCTTTCTTATCAATCTTTTTTCTTGGATTCTTTATCATCACTTTGCTTTTTGAACTTGTGCTTTTCCTAGTAATCGGTCTTTGCTTTTCCCAAAATGAAAAAGGTCAATGAAGAACACCTTATTACTTATCTTATTTTGTTTTGAAGCCAATTCTGTTCCACAACTATGCTTAACTTTGTTCTTATATAAGTACCCAAACTTGAATTGAATCTTATGAAGTTGAATGGATAGTCTAATTATCTTCTCTACAATTATGGTTGACAATCCATGCTTCCTTAGGTACACGTTCTGCTAATTTTTGCATGTTTTTTTCCATCGCTCTTTACTCACAAATCAGGAGAGCACCAGGAATTGCTTAAGTCAGGCACAGCATAATTAGCTTCTTTTCATACAGAGAAAATGGCAATAGAGCTTCTATCTTCCATTTCTTCGCTTGCTTCCCTATTCTTCGTACTCTCTATTGTTCCCCAGATTATTGCTGATCTGAACTCTGATACACAAGCACTTGTTGATTTTGCTGCCGCTGTCCCACATATCCGAAAACTCAACTGGAATTCTGGCACCTCAATTTGCGCCTCTTGGTTTGGAATTAGTTGTGATTCAAATGGAACTCGTGTGGTTGCCGTCCATCTTCCAGGTATCGGACTCTATGGACCCATCCCACCCAACACCTTAGGAAGGCTTGGTGCTCTTAGGATCCTCAGCCTGCACTCCAACAACCTTAATGGAAATCTTCCTGATGATGTCCCTTCCATGCCATCTCTTCAATTCTTATACCTCCAACATAATAGTTTTTCCGGTACCTTCCCTCCTTCGCTCCCAGTTCAACTTCATGTCTTGGATCTTTCTTTTAACTCCTTTACTGGTAGCATTCCATCTACCATTCAAAATATGACACAACTCTCTGCATTGTACCTCCAAAACAATTCATTCTCTGGAGCCATACCCAATATCGACCTCCCAAAACTGAATATTTTGAATTTGAGCTATAACAACTTTAATGGCTCAATTCCTAGCTCCCTTCAGAAATTCCCTAATCATTCATTTGATGGAAACTCTCTATTATGCGGACCACCACTTGACCCTTGCTCCAAAGTCTCTCCTTCCCCTTCTCCGTCATCAACTGACTTTTCTAGCTCACCTGCAGACTCTCAAATCCATGATGCTACTCCCAAAAAGAAACTAGGAACAAATTCTATAATTGCTATAGCAATTGCGGGATTTGCAGTGCTGTTTCTCATAGTTGTAGTCATCTTGGTCTGCTGTTTGAAAAGAAAAGATGAAAGAAAAAGTGTGTTGAAAGGAAAAGCTGAGAATGATAAGCCAAAGGATTTTGGAAGTGGTGTGCAAGAGGCTGAGAAGAACAAATTGTTCTTCTTTGAAGGCTGTTCTTATACCTTTGATCTCGAGGATTTACTAAGAGCCTCAGCTGAAGTTCTTGGCAAAGGGAGCTACGGAACAGCATATAAGGCAGTTTTGGAGGATGGAACAACTGTTGTGGTGAAACGGTTGAAGGAAGTTGCAGTTGGAAAGAAGGAATTTGAGCAGCAGATGGAGGTTATAGGCAGCATTGGACAGCACGCGAATGTTGCCCCACTCCGAGCTTATTACTATTCCAAGGATGAAAAGCTTCTAGTTTACAACTACATGCGAACTGGCAGCTTCTCTGCACTCTTGCACAGTATGCTTTATCTTTTACTCCATTAAGATCAATGACTTCTACTCCTTTATATATTAATTTTCCTATCTCTTAACAGAACTTCATATTTTTGCTCATTTGTATTTTGTATGCACTTAATAGGTAACAGAGGAACAGGAAGAAATGCACTGGATTGGAATGCAAGAGTAAAGATCTGCCTTGGTGCTGCAAGAGGCATTGCCCACATTCATTCTCTAGGAGGTGTGAAATGTGTCCATGGTAATGTCAAGGCCTCCAATGTGCTCCTTACACCTGATCTTGATGGTCTCATGTCAGACGTTGGCTTGACTCCACTAATGAACTTCCCTGCAACTATATCTCGAACCATTGGATACCGAGCTCCTGAGGTGATTGAAACACAAAAATTGAATCAAAAATCTGACGTTTTTAGTTTCGGAGTTGTACTTCTCGAAATGCTGACAGGTAAAGCCCCACTTCAAGCTCCAGGGCGTGATGATGTCGTTGATCTGCCAAGATGGGTGCGGTCTGTGGTCAGAGAAGAATGGACAGCTGAGGTGTTTGACGTTGAGCTAATGAAGTACCAAAACATTGAAGACGAAATGGTGCAGATGCTTCAGATTGCGTTGGCATGTGTTGCGAAAGCGCCAGACATGCGTCCTACAATGGATGAAGTTGTGAGAATGATGGAGGGGATTCAACATTCTGAGTCGAAAAACCTGCCCTCTTCTGAGGCTGAATCTAATGCACAAACCCCATGAGAGTTCTGAATTTGTCCTTAGGAATCAAACATATAGGGTATTTTGTGATATTTACGCATTCATATTTATCTGCCAATCAAGTACAAATGTAGATTGTTATCATTGTCGATGCAGATCAATCTTCGGAAAACAAGCTTCCTTTTCTGTGCTCATCACTTGTTAATTTCTAAATTAAGCTATTGAAAAAACACTCTTAACCTACAATTACGTGCTTAATTAAAAATTGGACCGAACAATGTTGAAATTTCTAAACTACTAGTCTACTATCGTAAATTAGATCTAATTATACAATAGTGAAGTTGCTCAACATAATTAGAAGTAGATGACTACTTAGCATCTCTTATTATGAAGTACAAGATGCATATATTTCATATTTGATTATAATATACGTTGATACTAGAAATGCCATTAGCAAGCTCAATGGCTAGTTTTGCATTGAATTGTTTCCCTTGTTTCAAGAGTTTACAGATAACTACTGAATGAACAGCACAGCAGTAGGCATATGAAATTTCACACCAAAAAAAAAAGTATTTATACTGGGGAAATTTTGTTGGATGCAAATTTCAGGATTTCACATTCTTGAATAATAACAAGATCCTTAATTTTCTTATGTTAAGTCTCTGCTTCTATTTTTCTTTATTGATGATTTGTTACCATGGAATATATGATGCTGAGATTTCGCAATCTTAAAAGAGAATTATATATTTATGACACCAAAGACAGCTTTTACACGCAAGTGATAAAACTATGCAATGCAGGATTATCAAAATACAGAGAGAGAGAGAGAGAGAGACACCTGCATTTTGGTGAAGGCGCAAAAGAGAGAAAATCATATTTCAGCCTTCTCCAGATACATGAAATGTTGCTTTTAGCTCTGGGCAGTTGCTTTTATTTTACTAGGATCTCTAACAACCTTAGGGAAATGAGAAGAAAACAAGAGGAAAATGGGAAAATTATAGATGTGAAGAAACCAACGGAATTCATTTTCATTAGCACTAGCGTTGTTAGCATATGCTTTAAAGATTATAAGAATATCCAATCAAACATTGGAGAATTCCTAGACGTAAATTGAAGAAAGGCGATAATCCTAAAACACATGGGAAGGAAAGTCTTTGAACCATATGGGACAAAAAGGGAGCCACCTATCTGCAGCCAGTTTGCTTTAAAAGAAACAAAAGACAATAATCAGGCATACAAAATACCTGAAAAATGTATTTTCCAAGTCAGTTCCTTGATGTCAATTCACAATCTTGGTCCCAACGGACTTCTTGAACAAGACAACTAATCGTTAGTCACTATGGGAATTTCTTGGGCAAACACTGATCTGCTCTAGTCGTTGCCCTACTATATTATGGAGTTCCTTCCATTGCAGGACCAACACATCCCCATCTCCAAAACCAGCTTGCTTCAGCTATGGCAGACGGGACCAAAGCTGTCTTCTTAGCACTTGACAATGCTAAAACTCAACTCTACCATTTTAAGGCTATAATTATAGCTGGTATGGGATTCTTCACTGATGCATATGATCTCTTCTGCATCACTACTGTCACCAAGCTCCTAGGGCGTCTATACTATTATCACCCAGACCTACCTAAGGCTGCCCCTGGTAAGCTTCCAGACGATGTCAACAATGCAATAACTGGGGTTGCTCTATGTGGAACTCTAGTAGGACAACTTTTCTTCGGGTGGCTTGGGGATAAGCTTGGCAGGAAGAAAGTTTACGGCATAACTCTAGTTACCATGGTAGGGTGTGCCTTGGCTTCTGGCCTTTCCTTTGGCTCCACAGCTAAAAGTGTGGTTGGCACTCTTTGCTTCTTCCGCTTTTGGCTGGGTTTTGGCATTGGAGGCGACTACCCACTCTCTGCTGTAATCATGTCTGAATATGCCAACCAAAAAACCAGAGGAGCTTTCATTGCTGCTGTGTTCGCAATGCAAGGAATGGGAATACTTTTTGCAGGAGCTGTATCCACAATCGTGTCCAAAGCATTCATGGAGGCTTTTAAAGCTCCCGCATTTAGCGAAAACCACATCCTGTCCACTCAGCCACAAGCAGATTCTGTTTGGAGGCTTGTTCTGATGTTCGGTGCAGTCCCTGCAGCTTTAACTTTTTATTGGAGGATGAAAATGCCTGAGACTGCTAGGTACACTGCCTTGGTTGAGGGAAACCAAAAGAAGGCTGCCGCAGATATGGCGAAGGTGCTTGAAAAAGACATTTATGTTGAAGAAACAAGTTCCAAGGCTCCTCTCAATCCCACTTCTTCTTACCGACTCTTCTCTTCTGAGTTCTTTAGCAGGCATGGGACTCACCTTCTCGGCACAACCAGTACCTGGTTTTTATTAGATATTGCCTTCTACAGTCTCAATCTAGCCCAGAAAGATCTTTACCCTGCCAGTGGACTCGTAAATAAAGCCTCAACAATGAATGCATTAGAAGAGATGTTCCATATCTCTAAAGCAATGACCCTAATTGCACTCGTTGCAACTGTGCCTGGATACTGGTTCACTGTCTTCCTGATTGATAGGATCGGAAGGTACATAATTCAACTCGGTGGCTTCCTCCTCATGTCCATTTGCATGGCAATTCTCGGATTTCAGTATGGGAACCTCAGAGGAGAGAAAAGCAAGTGTGATGTAAATTCCAAAAAGGATTATTGTGATGGCAACCCCATATTGTTTACAGTTCTCGTTGGGCTTACTCTCTTCTTTGCCAACTTTGGACCCAACAGCACTACATTCATCGTCCCAGCAGAACTCTTCCCTGCGAGATTCCGCTCAACCTGCCATGGTATCTCTGCAGCAGCAGGAAAAGCTGGGGCTATATTCGGTGCATTTGTTGTACAGACCTACACACTAGAAGGGGATTCAAATAAAATCAAGAAGGCAATCATTGGACTTTCTGTGGTAAACTTGTTGGGTTTCTTCTTCTCTTTCTTGGTGCCTGAAACAAAAGGTAGGTCGCTTGAGGAAATCTCTGGAGAGGACAAGGAACTTGAAGGCCGTGCAGCAAATGAGAACGGCAGAAACTATAATGGTAGTTCTGAGGTGGTTTAATTCTTAGGTGTGCATATTCCTTTTCTTCATGATCTTCACAAGTATGCATCAGTAGTTAATAAGAGCAAGCATGTTTCATCTTTTTATTACTCTAAACAGATATAAATAAAGGATGGACAAAAAACTGTACTCTGCTTCTCAGCTGAGGGAGTGTAACCATCCAATCACAAATAATTTTTATTACCAAAAAACAAAAAGAACAAAAAAAAAAAAAAAAACTAACAAAAAAAAAAAAAAAAAACTACAATTATGGGCGTGCTCTAAAAAAAAAAAAAAAAAAAAAAAAAAAAAAACTACAATTATGGGCGTGCTCTTTTCTTTCTTCTTGTAATTGTACTTGGTGTTTGAAATAAACTATGTAATTGTACTATGATATAAGAATAGCAAGCAAAATTACAGAAATTTTTTCAGTTCACCCATATTTCTACTGAAAGAATCTTTCATGTTGTTACACAGTTGGTATGACCTCTTCTTTTCCAATCCATTTATTCATTTTTGGCTTCTGGGATTTGTTACCTATGATTGTTCAACATAACTCAAGCACAATGGTCAGATAACTTTTGGTCCTCGATGCAGATCTTCATTGGCTTTGCTTTTTTCACTTTATTTTTCTTTTAAAAAATTGGTTACAAGGGAAAAATTATTCATTACAGAATCTAATATATCCTGTAGCTATCTTACCAAATAAAAACAAAGCTAATGCACAGTCCTGCCAATGCAACCATCTGCAGTAACATGGCAGTAGCTTTTAAAGGCAATTATTCAAGCCCTAATTCTAAGGCTGAGAAGCACCTCATGGCTTCATCCCAAGAAAAGAGGAGGGTCTCACATATGTGAACCCCTTAAATGGATTGTCATTGGACTTTGGACTAGCAGCTGGAGAATCCAGGACTGACATATTGGTCCAGCACTCGTCAAAGTTGGCAACGCAATGCTTGCCAGCAACCTCTGGAAGAAAGCTTGGCTTAATTTCCCGTGCCTCCAATTTCTTCCAATGGATTGACTTGAACCACTTGTGGGATTTTATCTCCTCGCTTCCACCTGGTCCGCTGCCAAGGCGCTTTGTTGCATCTTTCTGTAGCAGCTGAGGAAGAAAATGCACTTCCATTTCAGTTTCTCACATATACAAGTCAAACCATAAATAAGTATCGAATAACATGGCTTTTGATGCTTCAGCCTGTGGCAGGCATGCTATTTCAGATAAAAGAGACTCCATTTCAAGTTCCTAAATAGACAATTAATTACTCAATCTTTAAGAAAATTCATCTTAAGCCAACTGAGATATATTTTAATTATGAATGTTTATTTTACAGGCATGCACTTGCTCCAAGCCCAAAACTAGCCATCAAGCTTTTTTACTGTCAACAGAACAGAAGTTATACATGACTTCAAAGTAAAGGCAACAGGGAACTGTAAATTTACCCCTTTCAAGAGTGAATGCGCTTCACTTGACAAAAAAGCTGGCAGCTTAATTTTATCCTTTATAATCTTCAGTTGAATTTTTTGTCTATTTCCACCGGTAAAAGGAGGCTGCAATACCAGCCGATGACAAAATAAAATAAAAAAGTTAGACTTCATAATATAGTGCACATAGATTACAATAAACATTTCAAATAATCTAAATAATGTGAGAAAAAATTGCAGTTCATTTAGCCATTACTTTGAAGGTTTCTAGGTAATTTGAAAGGATGCAAATTGTTCAGCAACAATTCCTTTCAAAACTTATTGTGCTAAAAAGAAATGAATATTCAGAACCGAAATTTACGAACCATAAATTTACTAAAAGAAAAGGAAACTGAAAGAATTTCGTATCCAACAATGACTACTAACCCTTCCAGTAAGCATTTCGTAAAGCAGGATTCCAACGCTCCACCAATCTGCAGCCTTGTCATGGCCTTTGCCAAGAATAATTTCAGGCGACATATATTCTAAAGTTCCACACATGGAGTTTGACCTTGTATTTTCATCAAACTGCTTTGCGAGGCCAAAATCTGTCAACATCACCTGGTACAAAACACAAAAGCAGCTTAGAAATTAGTCCAGTAAATAGAATTTAGATAAAAGTAAATGAGAGTGCACATAAATTGGATCTTGCTCACATGCTTGCAAATATAAACACATCCAATCATACATAGTTCAGGTTGTAGAGTCATACATGTCCATGTGCATCTAGAAGAACATTTTCAGGCTTAAGATCCCTATGCATAATTCCACTTGCATGGAGGTGAGACACAGCAGAAACAATCTCAGCTGTATATATACGTGCCAAATCTTCTCTGAAAAAATAAAAAATAAATAAAAAAAGCAAACGTCAAATGGTTTGATACGTTGATACTCAAGGTATCAATCAAAATCATAGAAGGCACTTAAGATGTCATAGATACCTGAACAAGCCTTGGCGGTAGAGCTGAAAGAACAGATGGCCCCCATTAACAAAATCAAGCACAAGATAAAGCCTATATTTGGTCTGCAGAATGAAAATAAATATGAATCAGTCCCGCACATGACATACAAAGTCCAAAAAACAAATATTGCAGTCAAATCTAATGCTCAAGGTTACAAACCAAAGAAACTTAATTTCTACCTGGACGCACCAAGAGTAAGTAAAATTTAAAGAAAACATACAAAAACAACCATATAAGTTAGTTCATTACTTGGAATGAGTATCTGAGCTGCACAATGAAGGGATGATCCACTTTTGTTAATATGTCTCTCTCAGATTTCATATATTCAGCGTGATTTTTCTCCATTATCTTATCTTTCCTCATGACCTTCATTGCATATATTTCTGAAGTACTAGTCCTCCTCACTTGGTACACCTTCGCAAAAGCACCTTGGCCAACAACCTTCAGAACTTCAAAATCTTCAAGCCCCACTTGTTGTTCTTTCAAAGGCTTCTGTTCAACGTGAATGCCATTGTATTTGTCCAAATGAATATCAGCAATACAAGATTTTACGAGTTCTTTTCCTGATTTGTCAATAACTGCTTCTATGAGCTCCAAGGAATCCCCATCAGAATCATGCAATATGCACTTACTGAGATTCAAAGAATGTTCAACAAAACTTGAGGGGCCAACCAATGAATGAGATCGACTACAAATGACAGCCGGATCATTAAAAAGTGATCCATTAGAATCTGGCCCAACAAACAAATTTTTAGAGGTATCAGAAGTAACCTGTTGTGAGGCTTGGCAAGGAGCAGGGCCAAACGTATCAGAAAAATCAAACTCTACATAATCAGAGGGAAGAGCATCAGGTGGTCCAATTGGAAGAAGAAAGTGATTGTGGAAGGAAGAAGAAACATTAGAGGAAACCATGTTGTTGCTTATATCAAATGAGGAGAAAGTGTCTCCAAAGGGGGCAAAGGACCTTTTACGGGTTGCTCTCTCCAAAAAAGGAAGAGAAGGTAATGGATGAAGAGTGACTCCCGCCAATGGCCTTAAACAAGAGGAAGTTGACGTATAAAACAGTAGTTCCAAGCAAAGTTGGGAGCAAGCAGACCAAAATCCAGAAAAAGAAGTTGGTCTTGTTTCCCGATGTACAGGAAACAGTGGATTCAGCAGTGCCAAATGAATTCATTAAGATATCTGTAGTTGAAGATTGCATTCAGTCAGTAGCAAACACAAGCACAAATCAAAGAATCCACAGAATAGCCTAAGATTTAGATAAAAGAAATCATGACTGGAAAGAAAGACAAATTATGTTTGCTCCTGATTTAAGCTTTTCCTCTATATTTCTACCATCTATATAATATTTCCCCGTAGAGCATTATGTCGCCACCGAACAAGGACCACAAGAAAACAAAACAGAAGAGAAAAGAAAAGCTTTACTACAAGACATTCCTCAAAGAAACAATTGGAAAATAGATAGCATTGACAAGCCACAACAAGAGACTATTATCTCGACTCGAAGCGAATTTCAAAAGGTGAAACAAGAAACCGAAAATGGCAAAACAAATCATATTTGCAGGATCTAGTAATACAGAATTCAAAAAAGATAACAAATTTATAGCATCCAATAATGCAGAATTAAAAAACAAAAAGAAAGAAAGAAGATTAAAAACTTTATGATATTGAAATTGAAAGAAAAGAAATAGGGGGAGAGAAATTTCTCTAACCTTTGAAGACTGCAGGGACGAAAGAGTTGTCTTTTGGCGTGAAATTTATAAGTTTTTGGCGGTCGGTTCGCCCGCTTCTATGGATGTACTCTGCTTTTCCGAGTGGTTACCGGAATAACTTCCAGGCTTCGATGCTTTGATGCTTTCGGTATCGATTACGTGGCAAGTTTGAATTGGCTTATACCCCTAACTTCTCCATCCCATTAAAAACGTTTTACTTTGCCCTATATCCATAAAGAAAATGCGGCGACTTGGCGTTTGGGGTTGGCCAATAGGATCGCGCGTGCTTTCCGTCCACGCAACCAAACTCTGCCCCTCTTTTTTTTTTTTTTTTTTTTTTCCGTCCACGCAACCAAACTCTGCCCCTCTTTTTTTTTTTTTTTTTTTTTTTCTCTCTTTAAGGAATTTTTTTTTTTTTTTTTTTTTCTCTCTTAGGAAAATATAATTTGTATTTTTTGCCAAAAATTTTGTAGGTTTGCTATATGAAATAATTCAATTTAGAAAAAATTACATTTATTCAATATTTTAATTTATAAAATTATTTTATTAAACATTTCAATTTATAAAACTAAATCGATCGAATTTTTACGAAATGATTAATAAATATAAGAATTATTATTTTAAAAATTATATCACCCACAAAAATTATTTAATGAGATTTCGAGTTGAGAGTACTAATAAGAAATACCCAAAAGATATAAAAACAAGGAAATAAATTACATGCTTCTCAAAAAAAATAAAATAAAATAAAAAAAAGAAAAGAATTACATGCACTTACTTTTGAATCTCTTCATTCATTCTTCAACCTACACATTTATTAACTAAAATACAGAAATGCATTTAAGAAAACTCTTAATCATATCTTATAACATTTGCAGCTAGTTGTTCTTCCCGCAGGACATTTTGGTGTTCCTTTTCTTCTCGGTTCAATTATCAATTAGAATTATATATATTGCTAAAACAATTAAATTATGGAACAAATCAAGAATAATTGATAACGGTACATTTTGCAGATGAGTTTTATTCAATCAAATCATAAACAAGAACCAGATTCTATGGTTGTCCTATACTATATTCTAAGTTAACTGTATCCAACAGATGCTGCTGCCTTTACAAGCAAACCAAAGAGAGCAAATGGAGAGGAAAAGAATGGGCTGTGATCACTATCCAGAACATAAACCTCAGACGGTGGCCACCTCTTTATCATCGCATCTTGTTGCTGAGGTTTTATCACATGATCGTGTCTGGTCTTAATGTATATTCTCTTCACCTTATCTATGGCCTCATCTTCTTCATCATCCTTGAACTGGGCTGACTGTAATGCTAGGACAGGTCCCGGCCTCAGCAACATTGAAGCTAGGGTAGAATCCTGATCATAAACATGTATCTAATTAAATTTTACATAAAACAAATTAATAGCGTTTGCATGTGCATGATTTGTGACCCTATAGTACATTAATAATGTAAAAGGGAAGGGAAATGTGTGTGTGGGTGTGCATAAATGAAGTACTGAAAAGTAAAAGGGAACCATAAGACAGGATGACCTTTTTTCCCATGCTAGTTCTGAACATGTAAGAGCATATATATGTCTATGGCAAATCTTTTTTCCCACAAAAAAGGAAGGAGGACAGGTGTACGCATGAAAAATTGGCTATAATTGAAAAAAGAAATGAAAAGAAAAACAAAAATTAACCTCTTGTGGGCTCATTTGATAGATGATTTGCCGTTGGAATTGTTTCTTGATAATGGCAGATGTAGGAGGCTTATCACATCCTAATCCAAATCCTAGCTCATAAACCTCACCAAATGAGGATAGATCAGGAACACCCTGTCATCAATTTCCACATAATAATTAAATTAATTCCAACTTAATTATCATAAATTAATCATGTACTGTGTATGTGGGGTTGCAAATTGCAATATTTCTATCGAACAAATGCTAATATTTTTCTAATCATCTCTTTTTATATATGCAAATACTGTAACGTAATATTCAAAAAGAACTCGTGCCTAACAACCCATACTTCCGCACAGCCAGTTGTCTACCATCTATCGTCTCTCTTATCCCAAAAAGATACACACAACAACGAAACACAGTGAAAGAAAGAAAAGGAGAACATCCCCATCAATTAATATGCTACGCGGACATTAAACGTCAGTATTGAAACAAATTAAACAGGACCTGGCCTGACTAATGTTAACGAACTCAAAAAGGAAAATTTTTGAGTATTTAATAGATAAAATTGAGAAAATTACATGTTGAATGTCCTGATCCGTCCAGAAACCCAACTTGAGCATAGTAGCACCCAAATAAACTGCTAGCCTGATCTTCTTTGCGAACTTGAGACTTGCCTGCGTTACACTTAGCCCTCCTGCACTGTGACCTACCATTATCACCTGTAGTTAAATACATATATGTCACTTTGTGTTATAATAATTAACTAATGAATTTATTAGCAAGCAATTAATTAAGGACCTGCTCATTATCAGGCAACGAAGACATAAAGTCCAAAAGAGGCTTATTGTAGTCATCAAAAGAAAGAATAGAATTGGCATCTGCCTGATCAATTCCTGCTCCTTTGAGGTCAATACAGGACACCTTATAGCCGGAATTCTCCATAAGACACCGGATTTTGTACCAGCACCAGCTTCCTCCACCAATTCCATGGACTAGCACGAAGTGCGGCTTCGATGGTGGTGGTGGTGATGATGATGATAATAAGCCTACACCCACCATGGTGTTAGTTGCCTCCTCTCCCATGGAACGAATCACTTGTTTTTGGAATTGAATATGTAGAGACTACATATAGATGGAGTTTGTATTTATAGTTGGAATAGTCATAGAGAGTAATGATGTTTGCCTTTATCAAATCATTATTGGAAGTTTAAAGAAGAGAGTTTTGTCTAAATAAGCTAAACTCCACCTAACATATAAAGTACTCTCTTATGCAGATTTTTCACATGATGATGTACTTTCTCTTTGTATATCAATGGTCCATGTTTTTCTATCAGCACCCATTACATACCAAAGAATTGAACATCCCTTTTGAGGAGCATTCCATGTGATGTGTACGTGGTATTTGTATATATCATATATTATGTCATCCTCTAATTAAATATTTCATTTTTTGTGTATCTTTGGAAATAGGGATTTGTCATTCAACAAATATACACGAACAAGAATTTTTGTATTCCTTGGATATCATTTTTGGGTCGCTATTAAAATAAACCATATGAAAGGTGCATTTGCCGGATATATATTTGACAATTTCATTATTTTATTATTATTATTATTATTATTAGTAATACACATTGCCGGCCGACATTATCGCAATGTTAGTATTAAGACTAGTTGATTATTCATTAATATTATCATTTATTTTTTAAGTGGGGTTATAAGTTTGATCCCTATATACATAGACAATATCTGCTAGGAACGCTTTATTTTTTAACAGACCGATCCTATATGAATGAGGATTAGTCCAGTTTTGTTAACTATTAAATAGACAATATGGCCTAAATACATTATGGATAAGTGTAAAAAAAATATTTAATACTTGATACAGTATTGTTAAGTACAAGTTAATTTTCTATATTTGATTGTAATATTTATCTATTATGTACTTTATCAAAATTTATTACTCTTTAATCAGCATGTTGATTTTCTATATTTATCAATCCACAAACTTAGTAGGAGCACTTTTGGCAATCCCGCGTATTTCCACTTTTACATATATTATAGATAATAGAAAAATTATTTATTGTTAAGAAATAAACGGAATTTTAGATTTGCTATTTGCTTTGCACTTTGTTATTTGTTTTGCGGTTTGTGGGAAGAAGGGTATCACTATTTGATGGAAAGTTTGCTACGTAAAGACATAACATGTTAGTTATGGTAAATCTACGAACAATTAATTGATATAGCTTTTTTTTTTTTTCCTTTAGATTTCTCATCTATATGTTGATTTTTCTCTATTTGAATGCAATATTTATCTATTACCTTGTAAGAAATTTAATGCTCTTCAATTTATATATTTTGATTTTCTATATTTGGTTGCAACATTTCTCAACTATTTATGTGAAAAATTTAGTATTCTTCAATGAGTGGGCAAGGGTGAGATACAAACCTGGACGTAAAAAATATTTATGTTGGAGGTCAGGACTTTATTATATTGGTTTATCAAGGTACAAAATAAAAGTGCCCTTAGCCTTTTAGAGATGAAAGGTCTCATTTTTTATTAGTAAAATTTGACACAAGTAGAAAGTTACATATTTGAAATTTGAATTTATGAAATTAAATGATTTCATATTAAAATTTTATATGGATTTTGAATTTTTTTAAACTTTATATTGAATACATATTAGGTATGACCATGGTCACAGAACTATCGATTTCGATTTCAAAACCATCTGTTTCAATTATAAGAATAGTAATACAAAATAGTATCAAGTAGAGTAGTAAATATTAATAATACATCCAGTTGGAGAGAATTGAAATTAATATGATAGAATATGAAAAGGGAATAAAGTGGCCAATGAGTTGTTTACAAATTACAAGTTGGTAGTGTTGTATGGCTCCAAGAACATGGGCTGTTAATCATTTTTATCTCCATACGAGTCAGAAACAGCTAGCTAGATGCCCAATGAGGTCAAAAAAGAACCCCCAATCTATAAACTTTTGATCAGGTACAAAGAAAGAAGGAAAAAAATAATTGCAAGTGGTAAAACTAGCAGCTGGCAGTGAAAAAAAAATAATCCGATGGAAAAGGTAGCATTGACTGTGTAGAAAATTAAAAAAAAAAAAAAAAAAAAAAAAAAAAAAAGAAAAAAACAATAAATCCGATGGAAAAAGGTAGCATTGGAATGTGTAGAAAAATAAAAAAAAAAAAAAAAAAAAAAAAAAAAAAAAAGAAATTGGCAGCCATTTTTTTAAAACCAAAATAGTAAATAAAATCTCAGCAGATCCACTGAAAGTGGAATGGGAATTGGGAGATAAGAGTGTAGTTTTCAAATTGCCAAGTGCAGAATGAAGACTTGCAGCACAAATCGCACAATTGATGTAAGGTTGTATTCCATTCTTCATCTTAATGATAATAGAATAGAATTGTCTCACTGGTCAACTAACCACATACATTTGGATAAATTAATTAAAATTAAATGGTTTGAAATAGTCAAAACATTTTAATTAAACAATTTCTTTATTTTTATATTTGAAAATGAAAATAAATGTATCAGTTAAGTGAAAGTCTATTTCAAGTAGATTGATGTTGTCTGGTTAATGTCTCTGCCAATTAAGAAACTTGTAAGTACTAAAAGACAAGGAAGCATGCTGATTGATGTTGAGGAACACCACCCTAGTACCCTAGGCCAGGCTCCTGTGTTTTGCTTTTAGTTACTAAATTAACTTTTTCATTTTTAAGTATTCAACTGCCAGAAATTTTAGAGTTGTTGGGCAAATGTTTTTACAGTTTTTAACTGTTTTTGTTTATTAAAAGGGGAATTGAGCTCTGAAATTTACATTTATAATTTGGTGTGTGCTTTTAGCTGTTTTAACTAGTTCTTTGAGTAATTTTTTATAAAACGTTACATAAATTAATTTTTTTTAAAATTTTATCTTAACCTTTAAAAATTAATTCAAACACTATATTACTGAACACTATTAAAATATCATTTAGTGTTTTGATTAAAAGTTACTTAAAAATTTATTACCGAGCACAATTTTAAACTTAAATCTACGTCTTAACTCAAATATGCATTATTATGGCTTTAGTTATATCTTGATTTAGATTTTCTAAAGTCAATAATAAATTTTAATTAATTCAAAGAAAATTTACTATGGAAAGATTAGTTCTCCACTGTATATATATATATTAGGAAAAATAAGTACGTGTTGGTTCAAGTAATTGACAAAATGTTGAAATGGAAGCCAACCATGCACAAAATCTTCCATTCACAATAAGTCAATAGAGCAGGTGATTTGACAATTATTTAATTTTGATCCTCTAACTAGTTGGGGAACCCTTTTCTTGTTTTTTGCCAACTTTGGGCACTAAATATCAATACCCTTTAAAAAAAAAAAAACAAAGAAAGAAAGAAGTGGATGATGATCAAATTCAGACATCAATTTGTGTCAAAAAAACTTTATGTTTAAAATTGTCTGACAAAAGAGAGAAACCAAAACAGAAGCCCTTGTGGATGATGATCTTTCTTGATTCAGATTGAGTGGCTTTCCTTTCCATATCATATGGCCTTTCAAAATATCTCTCTCTCTCTCTCTTTATATATATATATATATGCACATACTACAAGTTCAACACCTAAAATAAGTAGTGAGAGATTGAAATTCTATGCATTTAGTACAAATACAATTATTGCTGAAAAGAAAGTTTTTGCTCCTTGTTTGTGCTATTATCTATTATATGCCCACTATCAAATATCCCTTTAAGATGAGTGAGTGTTTTCAGGGAAAAAAAGTTGAAAAATTATATATATTATATCAAAAATGAATTATTAATTTTAGGGATGCAAATTAATATACAGAGAGATAAAGAGTGAAAGGAAAATCATCCTGATAAATGGAATCCAATAACTTAATTATCCTATTATGGAAAAAAAAAAAAATCTTTACTCAACAACTTAATTGTAGTAGACTAGAATGGTCTAACTTTCGTTTATTTCTTAAAAATAATTTACATAAAAAATATTTTTCAAATTTTTTGATATTTAGGATAGAGTGATAAATGGTCAGACCACTTGTGAGCGGCTCAAAACTCATTTGATAAGTTTATCAAATTGAATTATCAAACTCATTTAATAAATTAACTGGCCTCAAGTTTGTTTCATTAGCTCATGAGTTGACTAGCTAGCCTTATCAAGCGGAGATCATCATAAGCAACTTGCGAGCTAACTCAAAAGTCAAAGTTAATTAAATCTACATCAACATGATGTCATGTTAGTTTTGGTAAATTTTGAACTCGAACTTGACTTGTTTATAATTATCAAGCCTATCAAGCCGAGCTTAAGTTCTGGCTATTTTTCGAACTCGGCTCAGCTCGTTACAACTTTAGTTTAGGATGTTTGAAAAAATTAGTGAACGAAAAATATTTTTCGGGTAAAAAAAAAATTAAAAGAAACGATATTTTTTTCAAAAATAAAAAATATTTTTCATATATTGATAAATTTATTAAAATATTATATATATAGTGGTGGCCACGGTTCCAGAACTGCCGGTTTCGGTTCCGGAATCGACGGTTCCGGTTCCAATTCCAAAAAATTTGGAACCATAATCGAACTGAAAATTAACGGTTCCGGTTACAGTTTTGGAACCAGAATCGAACTGAAAATTAACGGTTGCAGTTACGATTTTAGAACCGAACGGTTTCGGTTCCTTAATGGTTTCAAAATCGATGGTTCTAGTCGGTTTCGGACCAGTTCTGATCGGTTTCGAACGGTTCCGGTTGGTTTCAGACGGAACTAGAACCATTGGTTCCGACTGGAACTGGAACCACTGATTCATGATTCCAAAACTGGTGGAACAAAAACCGAACTGGTTTGAACCGATTTCAATTTTGGTTTCAGTTCACTGGTTCCGGTTCACACCGGTTCGGAACCGACAATTCCAATTCCAAAAACCGAATTTTGGCCACCCCTATGTATATACATGTTTATTGATTTATTAATCATCTATAATGATAATATCGATTGCACTAGTCATCATCGGTCAATTGTGACCTTCACCAGTTGGCTATCGCTAGCGATCATCATCAATTATTTCAAAAGAAACAAAGACATTTTCTCCTTAGTGTTTTAAAGAGATTACATATCTAGAGTTCGAATTTGATATTTCTAATTAAGAGAGAATGATCCTTACTTTCCCATCTCCTTCTTATAAAATTTTCTATATAATGTTTGATACTCACTACACTTTGTATAATCAAGTTGAGCTTTAGGTAAGATATTTTATGATAGAATCAATGCTCGGTTTAGCTTATGTCAAATTGTATATATAATCAAAACAATTCAGTTCGTTTTATCTTTCTCATAACTTGAACCGCCGGTTTTACAACTATAATAACATATAGTTACGGATGCAATCCTATAGATTTAATATATTCAGTCAGTGTCAATACCACTTACACTTTAAAAAAAGTGCATATTTCAAATTCTCCGATGTCCCGCCAGAATATATGGGGCAGTGTTCGTTTTGTGCTTCTCTTTCAACTTTCAACCGCAATTATTGGGTTCAAGAAATTTACCAAAAAAACCCCTTAATCAACAAATTTAATCAATCAAACAAACGACAAACCTCCAGGGACTTAAAACAAAGGAAAACAGAGAAATGACTTGTCGTATATAGGTCCACCACCACAACCACCACCGGCCCTCCCGTCCCTTGGATTCTGTTTGACAAAGATTGCTCAATTTGAAAATTGAAACGGAGGGTGTTTTAGTAAATTTAATCTAATTTCGGAAATGCAAAGGCGGCAAATTTGCTATCTCTGCCCATCAAAAGAAGGAGATGGGCTGGCATTTCATTCTTGTTCCCTCTCTCACACTTTTCTCATTGTCTCTACTCTCTCTTTAGTTTAATCTAATTAAAGTCTTCTATTTACTATTTGGAGTTGGAATTCAGTCTATCTGCGATCTATTTTCACCTGCTCTGCCCACTCAGGTCGGTCACATTCTTCTTTTAAATTTTATTTATGAATCTGTTTTTACAATTTCCCAACTTTTGCTGAGATGATATGATAAAACGTTTGAATTTATTGCTTAATCCATCATTGTTTTGCTTCACTGCTGCGTTTTCATTCCTTTTTATTTTTGAGTCTGTTTGTGGATATTCCTGTTAGCAATTTGGTAGTTTTACCGGATCCATTCTCAATTGGGAGGCTTAACCCCAGATCCTTGTTGTATAATTTTAATTGTTCACTTTCCCTTTTAAAATCAACTAAAACTTACGTAAAAGGAATTCAATTTGGATATGCGCATTTCTCATTATCTAAAACCTAAGAGCTATTGTTTTTGGGTTCATTGGTTGATTGCAAATGTTCTTTCTAAACTGCATGAAGTAGCAAGTTGGAATCTTTCTGCTGTAGTCCATATCTAAACGTACATTTTCCTTATTACCTCTTGTTGTTGATCTGATCTGTGTATACTTCTAATGTTCAGCCTTTTGTTACGCTCAATAGTTTTACGAAACTAGTTGAGGATAATCTTATCTCAGTCCTTTACTGCTTATCTATATTTATGATTTTATTTAATTGCTTCAGATACTTTGCCCTTTTCTATCGTTTGGTTTCCAAGGTAACCAGCAGCATTCTGTTGCATTACTCTGGACCTGATTAGTTACTATGAATTGAGTCTACTAACAAAGCTCATAATCTTTTTATTATGATGCTATGTCGGATATTTCTTTGATCTCTCTTTGCTAGTAAAAAGATAATCACTTTATGTTATATTTTGGTGTGGATTTAATGATAAAAAAGCTATTGATTGCAGAGATGGACCAAGGTGCCAACCTAGTGCTTAAAATGATTGAACAAGAAAGTGCATCTCTAGCCAAGAAAGCAGAAATGTGTAAACAGGCTAGGCCAGATTTGATTTCTGAGATTGAGGAATTCTACTCTATGTATAGGTCATTAGCCGAGCGCTATGATCATTTGAATGCAGAATTATACAAGAGTATGCCGCCAGAGTTCCAAATGGAAGGTGCAGGCAGTGCCCCTGACACTCCGACGCTGACTCCTGATCAAAAGTTGGGCACAGATTTTGATTTCCTGAGATTGAGGAATTCTACTCTATGTAATAGGTTCATTAGCCGAGCGCTAATGATCATTTGAATGCAGAATTATACACAGAAGTTGCGCCAGAAGTTCCAAAATGGAAGGTGCAGCGCAGTGCCCCCTGACACTCCGACGCTGAAACTCCCTGATCAAAAGTTGGGTTCGAACAAGAACTGGTCATCCGGAAGTTGTATCTGTGAGCTCCGGTGGTCTAGTTCTGATATTTCATTGAAAGGATGCTTCTGATTCAATCATCATCATCATCAGACTCTAGTTGGACATCTTTCAACTCCCTCCGGTGATGCCTATTTATAGCCTCCCAATGACACTAATCGCAAATGCTGCACCAGAAGATTATGAGTTTGGTACTACTCTTCCTAGCATGGAAGTTAAGCTCAAAGATGGATGTGGAAAGAAGATGGAGATGTGGTGTTTAATGTGAGGACTGAAAAATGAAACCGATAAAGGGAAAGTCTCAGTAAGGATTAATTGAGGTTATGAGGAAGGCTAAAAGTTTCAAAGCAAAATTGCAGCTATCAGAAGAGGAAGTTACCAGGATTTGAAACAGTGGAGCTTGCAGAGAGCGATGTTTTTATGGAAACTTGCCTAAAATTTGCAAGGCTCGCTTGGAAATAGCAAATGAGAATCAAAACGAGGAGGCTGAATCTTGAAAGTAGAAGAGAACAAGAGTAATAGAGCATGCAAAAAAACAACTAGCTGATGATGTAAAATGAATTGCAAAGCCTCAAGCTCCAAATTGGTTCAAGAAAAGAAAAAGCCATGTTGAAGGCAAAATCTTTGAATTCCAGAGAAGTCAGCAGGTTTTAGAGTTGCAAGGAGATTCAATTGTAAAGGTGCAAATAATGATTTTCTGATCCGTGATGATGAACGTCAAAGCATTAAAACTGCATTCCTGCAATGCTGAGGAACACTTTTCCTTAGTTGAAAAAGCTACCTGCAATCTAAATATATCTAGTTTTGTCAGAGAAAGAGAGTTTGTTGGAGGCAAGGCCTCAGAGAACAGAAATTGTTAGGTCAATCCATTGAGGATAAGTATGTCAATGGCAAAACCTGAGAAAATGGAAATTGCAATGTTCAACACGACACCAATGAATAGGGTTGCAAGCAAGAATCAGTCAAAATTGAAAGTTTGAACTTACTGAGAGATGTGGACAAGTGGAAATTCTGAATAAAAATCCCTTGACACCCTAAAATTCCAAGTGTGACAGCTTATGGCAGAGAAAGGACAGCCTAAAATTCAAGTGTGACATGCTTATGGCAGAGAAAGATGAGATGAATGCTAAGGTAAAAACACTAGTTGCAGACTTGAGTTCACGAGACATTCAAATTGGTCAAATGGAGGAGCATCTCCGGAGCAAGCATATGGAAAATGTGGAACTGATTGCAGGGTCTGAAAGTGTGCAAAAGCAAGTACATGAATTAAGATTGAGAGCAGTGGAGTTGGAGAAGGAGGTGGACAGGCAAAGAGGTGAGCTTTCTGCTGGGGCTGAGGAAAAAAGGGAAGCAATAAGGCAGCTTTGTATGTCATTGGATCATTATAGGAGTGGATATAAAGAGCTTTGTCAAGTATTTGTTCAACACAAGCGGCATATAGTTATGGCTTCCTGAAGTCTCATGTTTGTATCAATGGACTAGTAAGGTTTGTTTGGCTCATTAAATGTTTTCCATTATGTTGTGTTTGTCTATGAAAACAATTGTTTGCTACTAAAACTTCGTTTCTTGCTGAAAAGTTTTGGACATCAAAGGATAGTATATTAATTAGTTCATGATAAAATTTAGCTCAGACGATGATAGAATAGTTACTAGTATTGAAATTCCTATTATGCACTATATTTTGAATAGCTATATTAGTATTGAATAGCTTTCCATTTGATTGTATGATATGATGACCCACTAGCAGTTAGGTCCAGGATCAGAGGCAGAGATTTGAGCTTCTGGTTACTCTACTGTACATTATAAGCATTTGTTTCCATCACCCATAAAATTATAGCATCATGATTGGTATGAATATTGTTTAATTGTTAATCTAATAATAAAATGTTTATGACTATGAATCTTACACATGGAGAGTTGAAAAATAGCTAAATCCCATAAATAATGCCTATGCTGGAAGCAAATGCTAAGAAAGGGCTAGTGTGAGACCCCACATCGCACCAAATTGCAGTCCAAAAATTTAAAATTAAAGGTTGGGTTTGGTCGTGGGGGAGTGCAAACCTAACCCTTGACTTTCCGCAGTTGAGTTGACTGACTCTGTTGCTTAGGAGATGAGAGAACTTTTAATTTTTTTTTTAATTGAATTGTCTTTTTTAGAAGCATCTTCTAATATTTTTTTTTTAAAAAATTTTAAGATCTATTTATTTAATATATTTATTTTATAAATTAAAACCTATATGAATTCAAAGCAGAAAAACACTCTTCTGAAATCATCAATTAAAACTAGCAGTGTTTCTTTCTTTCATCAATTAACAAGTGGGTCAGGGGCATCCATTAACATATTCCATTTAGTTCATATAAGAAAGTTCAAAAATTTAAAGGAATCTGTCAATGTGTTCCTCTAGGGGCACTTGCTAACCATAATTATAATTAAATTGCAAAGGTCAACAGAAATTTTGTTTCATTTTGAAGCATGTGAATTTTATTTTCAATTACTTCATCAAAATATAAGGCTTTTTTTTTTTTTTTTTTTAATAATAAGGCTTTTTTTTTTTTTTTTTTTATGTTTCCTATGTTTTTTTTTTTTTTTTTTATGTTTCCTATGTTTTTTTAATAAATAATGGTTTTTAAAAATATTTTCATTTTTTTCACTAAGACACATAAAATGTTTTCATTTTATCCCCAAACATGCGAAGTTTGGCATAATGGTATGTAAATGTAACTCGTTAGTCAAAGAACTATTTAGAGTTCTTAGAATTCGATTTCACTGAGACTGATTGATGGTCAAGATGAAATGAACTTAATTTTTAGTTGAAATATAAAAAAAATAGCTTCAGATTGAAAATGTAAAATTATCTGACGTTGGACGTTAGAATTCATTAGAGCTGATCAAGACATTTCTTTTTAAATATTCCTCTCTTTTTAAAATCATACTTTTGCATAAAATCTCAGAGATTTAAATCTTCATACCCACCTTTATGAGGCAATTATATATTATTAACATTCCCATTTGGATCAATTTCATTCAGCTCAAATCCGAACATTAGCAGTATTTACCATTTAGTCCCAAGAAAAGGTTAATTGGTCTCAACACTCAACTCTTTCAGGTCTACCATGTGAAGACAAGAAAAACAATGAGGTCATCAACGTGATGCCAAGTGGAGAAATGGCAGTGGTTGAGATTAATCAACCAATACGAAAATGCCACATAATATTAGTAGGCCATCCCCATCGACATTTTTACTCAAAACAAAACTTTGCTCTAATGGATGTGACACGTCGCCGTGTTCTCCAAAATTGAAAATTAAAAAATTGGGGAAGTTGCTTTCACCTTTACAGCTTATGTATACATACAGGACAGGATTGCCTGGACAACAAATTGACACGTGGCAAGTAGCAGTTGGGCTGTCAAACCAATCTAGTCAAACCGACGACATTTCTTCTAATTTCCATCTCAGTTGACTTGAACACAATATGATCATAAGATTAAGAACTTGTTTTTTCTTTATTTTTTATTTTATTTTATTTTTTTGGAAAGACAATATGCAGATTTAAAAACTTGTTGAAGGTACATGATTTCCTTTTTTGGCACTAATTATTAAGAAAAATGACAGATAACTACTGGTAAATTGAAACAAAGGTATTAATTCAGTGTTTAAAATTTTGAAATTCAATATTCAAAACTCAAAAAAATTAAAGAGTTTTAACTTTTAAGATATGTTTTTAGTCTTATATTGTTAGAAAAAAAATAAAGATTTATTATCAAAATAAAAAAAAGAAATGCAAGCATCAAAATAACGGTCGTGCCCGTTCAAGAAAGCCACGTAGGATAATACGTTAACTGTAAGCAGAAAAGTGGGAAGGAGCTTTAAATAGAAGTCGGCGCCCACTTGAATGCTCTTGATTCCCATGTCTCTGCCGCTAATCAATAACTTGTCTTTGCCTCGAACTGCCCAGCATAATAGTAAGATCTCATCTCCTCTGTGTGTCGATAACTGGCAATGGGTTTTTCTTCTTTTGACTTTTCATGGTCTGTGGTTGACTGGAATTTCTTCTTTTTTTTTTTTTTTTTCCATGAAAAAGCCTTCTCATACACGAAAAGCAACACATGACTCTTATATATATGTAGTCTTTGGTCTTTAACTGGTGTTAAAGTTAAAGCAGAAATATAGTTTGGTTTCCATCTTTGTCTCTGTGAGAGAAGAAGATCGACCAAAGAGAAAATAAAGAAAATTATTAAAGAAAAAACAAAAGAGAGAAGGTCATGAGTGAACTTTGCGGTCACGAAAAGAATTTTCATTTCTTTAAATTAATCTCTCTCTTTCTACCTCAGGTTCGTTTCTATTTCTCATCCCCCCCCTCTCTCTCTCCCACTTTCTTTTACATCTTCAAAAAATTCTTCAGTTTCTGCATTATATATCTGTGCTTATAGCTAGACATATAGCTCAGGTTTCTTCCAAATCTTGAATTCTCTGGATTCTGTAGTCTTAGACTAAAAAGGGTATGTGGATCTTTTTATGCTGATAGATCTAATTAAGCTGCTTTTCAGTCTTTGTATTTCTCAATATCCTTCACAAAATTTTTAGCTTTTTTTTTTTTTTTTTTTTTTTTTTTTTTTTGCTGATAGATCTAATTAAGCGCTTTTTCAGTCCTTTGTATTTCTCAATATCATTTCACAAAATTTTTAGCTTTTTCTTTTTTTTTTTTTCTTTTTTTTTTAATGTTTCCTGGTTCTTTCTATGTTTTAATAGAAAAAACATGTTATGCAATTGGTATTTTTGTTGCTTTTGTTGCTATGTATCGTGTGTGTGTATACTATATACCATTCACCCCAAATGTGTGGATCTATACGGCTAAGTTTTATCATTTTTTTTTTTTTTTTTTTTTTTTTAATGTTTCTGTTCTTCTATGTTAATAGAAAAAAAAACATGTTATGCTTGTTTTTGTTGCTTTGTTGCTATGTATGTGTGTGTGTATATATATACCATTCACCCCAATGTGTGGATCTATACGGCCTAAAGTTTTATCAACTTAGGTATGTTCTTGTACTCTTTTGCCTTATTTTAGCACTCTGTCTTTATATCAGTCTGCTTAACGTTGACGGTTAACTGCAGCAACTTCTTCTTGTTTGTTTCCTTTGTTTTTTTTTTTTATTGTGTTTTTAATTTGCCCCTTCTTGTTTTTGAAAATTGAATTTTCCTAACTTTATTCCACAGATCTTATCTCTTCCTAAAAGTATGAATTTCATTGATTTGCTTTTACCTGCAATACTTATATGCTTTAATTTTAAAAGTCTTCATCAGTTTATTTCTATTTTGATTCATGAGTCATATCGCCAAGAATATTTAATATTTTAGTCACCTGGTCTCTGATTTCCCTCACACATTGTTCTGCTCTCAAAAAGCTGCAAAAGACAACCAATATATTTAGCCAAATGGTATTAGTTCTCACTTTTCTGCTTCTTCATGGAAAAACATGCCGGACTAGGTTTGGTTCACTGGTTCTGAAGGTGACTTGTTCTAATAGGATGTCATTTTATCATATACTCCGATTGAGTAGGTGAGCAATATCCAATAAGAAATGGTAGCAGCCTTAACTGCTTCATCTGTCATTTTTCATTGGAGTTTGGCATCTTGGATTGCTCAAGAACAACATAAAATGACTTCCAAGAAAATATTATAAATATAAATACTTAGATAGAAGTTAATGTCCCTGAAATTAGTGAAACTTCCCAACTTAGCACTCTTCAAAGATCACTATAGATATGCCTATATTCTAAAATGTAGCTTCTGTTAATGTTAAACCACTTCTAGAACTTGTTTTATTCACTATGCTCCCACAATTTTGCATTCTTGGTGGTTCTCTTACATTATATTTGTCTAATACGTGCCTATATATTTACCCATTTGCAGACGGTGAAGCCTCACAGTCTTACAATGAGGTCTCAATTCATAGTTGAATCTCCCATTTGGTAATTAGCCATATCAGAAGTAGAGGCAAAAAGACAAATTAGGCTGTTTACAATTGTCAACTTGGTGGAAGATGATCAGTGGAATGAGTGCAAAGATTCGGTTAGTTAGATGTCCTCGATGTCGGCAGATCCTTCCAGAGTTGCCAGATATTCTTGTCTATGAATGTGGTGGCTGCGGCACACGTCTCCAAGGTAAGAATCTTATGAATTCAAGCTATTAGTCACGAATGCTAAGAAACAAGAATGGTTTTATTGAATCTACATAATAATGGTTCAATGCGACTATTTTTTCTGTTACTCTCTGTCCTCCCCTCTCTGCACTTGTTTTATTGAAATTACTATTAGTATTAACCCTTGTATTCTGAATTTTTTAATTAGTTTTAGTTAAATCCTCTGTCCTCATGCAGCAAAAATTCGAAAGGAAAATGCCAAAAGCACATCTAACTTACCTCAAACAGATGCTGAAGAGACGAATAAATTTGATCATGTTTCTGAAGGTAATGAATCTAGCAGCTCAAGTCATGAAGCAATTCTTCCTTCTGTAGGCGTATTCTCTTTGGACCAAAACAATGGGAGGAATCAAGTTGAATCCAATGATTTCAATGGTGACAACGTCACAGGTGTAAACTTACCACACAAAGATGAAAACAAAGCAAGCGATCAAAATAGATTAGAGGATTTTGATAATGGACATCTTGAAGATGTAAAGTTAACAAATGAGGACCAAAATGATGAGGGTGACAAAAATAAATCTGGGGTTTTTGACAATGAGCAATTCAAGGTTGTAAACTTATCAAATGAGGACTACAACAACTGTGATCATCAAAATGAATTTTTAGCTCGCAATATTGAGCAGCACGGAATTTCCAGCAGAGACTGTTCATCAAATGAACTTACTTGTTTTGAGAATGGAAACCCGTCCCAGTTCCCATTATCCGGAGCAAGCTCATCATCGTCAGCAAAGGCAACAGCAGAGGGAGAAGCAGAAGCAGATGCTAAAAATGAGAGTGATTCTACTTTTAGAAGATCAAGCCAAATGGAGCACGATGATACAAAGGGAAGTACTTCAATTATTGCTGCCCATCAGCTGGCAGGGGAAAGCATTTCTTCAGATATCCTTATAAATTGTGATGAACTGCTCGCGGAGCCAGAGGAAGGTTCTTACCAAGTCTTCGATCGCTTACAATCAACGGATACATTTGAAACCACAGATTTTGTAAACCCGAGCTCTGAGCTCAGTGGTAGTCTTGTAGATTTGTCCAAATCCCCAACAACCAGAAGCTCTCGTGCTTATTATGATGATGGTGTCTCTTCCTATGAAGGAACTGATGATCTGCTGCCTGATCGACACAAACATTCCTCTAAACATGCTCACAAGCTTGCTAACTATGCTGCTTCTGATGTGAGGCCCAGAAGAGAAAGATTCCTAGTCAACAGCAATCATGAAATGCAGCATCGTTTCAGGAGTTCTGCCTCCGCTATGCCTGATTATGCCACAAAATCTAGCAAGGTGGATCGAGAAGAATTGCAGGAGCCGACAAGACTCGGCCATCCAGTTGGAAACTGGAGAAGATTAGCTAGAGAAGAATATATGCCTCAGCACCCTTTCCATCGAAGGGAATCCCTGACCAGCCATGAAAGTGGTAGTCCTTCCAATCACAATGGCTTCTACAATACAAGCTTTCCTTCACAAGACAAGCCTGTGTATACTGAACAGGAGAAGATGAAGCTGTTGAGGATGGTTTATGAATTGCAGGATCAACTTAACAAAGCCTCTCTGAATGATAAAGTAAATGCAGGTGTCTCTTGGCATGATCATCATATTCCCATGTATCATAATCATGACTTCCTACAGGAGGAAAATTTTCATAACTTGATCTATTCTAGATATTCTGGAAGAGTCAGAGAGGGAAGTAACTGGTCGCAACAGAAAAAATTCTCAAGAATACCCTTCTCAGCGGAGGCAACCACCAGTAGACATCAAGTTGATCATTCCTTGTGCTGCTGTCCCCAAGAGCGGCAGTGCCCAGCACAGTTAACTCCACTTGGCCTTCGTCATAATAAAGGGCTTTGCAGGGTACATCCTCATCTCAACCTTTACAATTCCTATGGCTCTTGTCCCTCAAGTCCTCAACAACGTGTGGACTCTCAGTTTACCATATACAGCCGTGGAACAAAGTCCGCTGACCAGAGGCATAGAAGTTATGAAGTGAAGAAGTACCTGAGGGAGAAACGTCACTTGGCTAAGCGACATCTCAGGCCCATAGCAGGTGGGGCCCCTTTCATAACTTGTTCTTCTTGCTGGAAACAGCTGCAGCTACCTGCTGATTTTCTGCTCTTTAAAAGGAGGTGCCATCAGCTAAGATGTGGTGCTTGTTCAGAGGTACTTAAGTTTTCACTTGTAAGCAGAACGCATCTCATCCCATATATGCCAACTGTTGAAGCTCCTCCACCAAGTGAGTTTGACGAGTATAGTGATGCTATTAATCAGAGAAACTTTACTTCCACGTCTCATGTCAGTGATTGTCCCTGCCCGGATTCCATATCATGCTCTGATGATTATGGACACTCTTTCCATAAAAGCTATTCCATTGACAGGGATCCTGTTTCCCACACACCATTTCATGCGATTCATGAAAATGGAGTTGAAAGAAACGTGCCAAATGGTTCGCTTAAGCATAGTGAAGAGGGAAGGAAATTTGTTTTGAACGAGGCTCGAAACAAAGGTAAAAATCCTGTAGAAATATATGAATCAGCTGGCCCATCGTCTAGTACATCCATATCAAAGAAAGTATCTTCAGAAATTGAGGAGCTGCCTGTAGCAGCAGGAAGAGGGGGAGGTTCACCGCTTCATCGACTAATGGGTTATTCCTCACCAACTCATATGATATTTGGTTGGGGACCATCCTTCTCTGGGACAAGCTCATATTCTCTAGAAGGAGAGCTGAGGTAGAGAAACTGAGAGAATTCTCATGCAGCAGCAGTTTATAATACCCTCCACCCGAATCCATGGTGTTCTAAATACTGGTGCTTGAAGCGATTTTACTTTCTTTTTGTTTCTGTCTATTTTTGGTACAGGTAAAATGGGATTGATCTCAGCTGCCGGAGAGCCTGGAGTATATGTTAGTAGTAGAAACCAAAACTTCCAAGTTTTATATGTACAGAAAATAGATGTTCAGCAGAAAAAACTCGGTATGATTTGTTTATTTGTATAGTCTCTGTTTTTCTTTTACTATTATTAGTATTCTTTAATTTGAAGTTCTGTTTATTTGTATAGTTGGAGTTATTGAAATTTTTGTTTTTGAATCGAAAATAGAAAACAAAATGTCTTTGCTTTCTCCACTCCCCTTCTATGTTTTAATTCGTCAATAATAGTTTTATCCAAGAATTACTCGTCTACCTTCCCAACTTTCCAATTTAACCATTGCTCTCATTCACTGGCATTGATACAAGAGAACATTGATTACTTTTCTGGATAACAAAATATGATAAAAGAAAACATGCTAAGCTCTGGAAAAGAAAATGAAGGCATATGAAATTACACAACAGGAGCAGTGCAATATGGGAAGGAGGTGATACAAAAAGCACAGCAGTAAACATATATTCCCCATGGAAAGGAATTACTAACTACTGTATTCCTTCCAATATAAACACAAAATACAACGGTATTGTAGACGTTCTTTCCCATATCATGTGGAGTATATTTGTTTCCTACTTAATCCTTCTGTAGATCGTATTTTGAAGTAGCTCCATCGGTTGCATGTTTGCATTTACATAAGAAAAGAAGTGTACACCAATACACCTATATATCCAAGATTCATTTGAAAGTGTTCCTATAACTACTACGATTTGAGACAATAGTAATCCTCTGATCCTGAAGCATGTTCAAGTTTGGGGCCAACAACCGAGTATACCGATCAAAATAAAGGAGCTGTTTCATAAGAAGTGCAAACTCCCTCGGAAATCTGAGTCCATATGATTCACTGACACGAACCTATCATTCAACCAGAAAAATAAACACACGCTGTTAGAGTTTTCCAATCAGCAACTTCTTTTGCCTGATTTACTGGAATGTTTCCCTTTCAAAAGAGAAATTAAAATACAATCTTACCACATCGAGGAAAAGTGCATTCATTTGCCTCTCATCAACAACTAAATTGGCAGAAACAGCAGTTGCATCTGTAGTAGCATCTCTTGCTGTTGCAACAACTATTTCTGTATCCAATTCCTGCATTTGGGTTAAAAAGTTTGTTTCAAACCTGTAATTCAAATAAACTCAAATCTTTCATAACATACTGCTCTAAACTTCAAAGCTAAGCATTTTTGAGCTATTAGTGCTTGCCTGTATTGATGAAAATATCTTTTCCAAGTCTCTTGCAAAGGCATTAACATCAACATCCTTGTTTGTAGCCCCCATTTCAATCAACGCAGATGCCATAGACTCATATTCTTCAGTTGCAATTGATGTCAGAAACACTTCCATAGCAGCCCATGTCTTTGGGGATATGCGACCTACAATTCCTGTGCAATGGATTTGTTTTCAGTGGATAATGAAACAGATAACAGCTGATTAAGGTTTTTGATATGCCTTGCCCAGTATTTTCTTTTCCGGAATTAAAGCTGAAAAAACTGAATTTACACTTCTACCATTTCTGATATTTTGGACAATCCAAAACTTTAACAGAAATCATGCTAAAGCATGGTCTATCATCAATAATTTCACACTCCAATCAATATTACTTACTAATACATGATATGCAGAGTTTCAACTGAAATTTACAGAGATATGGAAGTCATGTTTCAATACATGGTATTGCTCAATTAAAATTGTTGCAATGACCAATATGCTATTATCAATGCGCAACAAGCAGCCACTTCTAGCAGAAGGCAGAAAGGACACCTAGTCAGAAAACCATGAAATGTGAAAAAGCAAACTTCAAAAGGCAAAGTCCACTTTCCAACTGGTATAGACTAGCAATCAGTATATAACTATGACAGTGTGATATCGGATAATTTTCTTTAAACTGTAGAAACAATGTCCAATCATCTTGTAAGAATCAACGAATAAAATTGCAGTTCTTAGGAACTGGATGATGAATGGAAATAGTGGCAGAAAGAAGCTTACCGAAATCAAGAAACCCAATTCGACCATCACGTAATAACCATAAATTACCAGCATGTACATCTGCATGGAAAGTTTCACATGCCAGCAAACTACCAAACCTGCATGGAAATTAATTTCCTCTGATTTTCCACTTAGTAAACCATAAGGGATCCACAAGATACAAACGGAACTTCACAAACATGTGATATCCTACCACACGTTCAGGGCTGTTATAAGACTGGCCTCTGGACTAGAAACAAGTGACCTTATAGAATCCAGGTCAGTGAGAGGCACTCCATACAGCCTCTCCATGGTCAGAACTCGTCGAGTGCTGCAATGCTGATAGACTTTTGGAGCTGTAGCCTGCGCTGTAAGTCCCATCGCCTCTAAATATCTCCTAAAGGACTCAACATTTGCAGCTTCCTTATAGAAGTCAACTTCTTCAAGCATGGACTCCCTTATGTCTTTGATAATACCAACCTAACAAATGTGCACAAAGCATACAAAAGAATTATCCAGAGTTGATCGCTTATTACATCAAACAAGGCTAAATGAGATGCTTGTGTTTTGATAAAACTGCATTTACATCATAAATCATAAGTTCAAAAGGTCATGAATCAAGTTAACATTCTACCAGTGATGCGCGGCTAAGATCAGGACTTAAAAACTCCAATATGCGAGCAACAACGTACACAAAGTTCAAATCTGCAACTAGTATGTCTTCTATTCCAGGTTTGAGGACTTTAATAACCACATCTTCTTGGGAACCTTTAAGCCGTGCCCCATGAACCTATGTAAGATGGTAAAAAATCTAATAAAAACCATCGAATGTGTGAGAAATGTGATTATGAGAATAGGAGAAGAGAGCAAACAGGAGCGACCCTGGGAGGGAGGGACCAGTACTAGCCATGAAAAACAAAGAAAATTGGAGGAAGATGCGAAATTGACACCTGTGCTATTGAGGCTGAGGCAATTGGTGTTGGGTTGACATATTCATACACACTTTCTATTGGCCTTCCTAATTCCTCACGCAAGATTGCTTGAATTTCTTGGAAAGGGACAGCAGGAGCCTTATCAAAACAGTTCTGGAATTCATTGACATATTCTGGTGGGAACATTGTTGGTGCAGATGCTATGAACTAGAAACATGCAAGCAGAAAAAGCATTGGTGAAATAATACCATATGTAACATGACAACCATAATAGATAACTTAGTTTTTTGCATAAAGCAAACAAATTTTTGTTGACATACAATTTAGGCTGTAAGTTAGAACAAAAGTAATAATAGGATTTACCTGACCTAGTTTAATATAGGTTGCTCCCATGCGCTCAAATAATTTTCTCAAATATAGCGGAGAGAGTAATCCAAGCTGTGATTGGCTGGGCAATCCAGTAGATGAATTTGTTGACTGCATATTTAAGAATGGTATCAATCGTGACAGAACCTTACAGACTAAGCGAAGCAAAGTAATGATAGAAGCGAGGGGGAAATCAAAAAATCTGAAAGCAAATCTGAAAGCTACCCCTTTCAATGGACTTGCACCAAAATTTCAACTGTTAAAAGCTGAAATAATTGTCTCCCAAAATATAAAACAGAAAGAGAAGAAAGAGTTCAAATTTCTATCAATTTGCATCACTGATTACTCAGACGCTTTGGTTGTATCCACACAACATAAATAAGTGTACATCAGAAAAGAAGATTAAAAATCCCAGCTACCTTTGATACGTCTGCCAGCCACTCCCCACCAACTCCAAGAAATGCTTGAATACCTTGAGCCAGCCTTAGGGCTCCACGAGGACCCGTGTTAATAGATGTCTGGACAATATCCTGTACCAATTCTGGCAAGTTCTGAATACTATCTGAAAGTAGAATAATATATAAGCTTAAACGTGAATATATTGTACAATGAAGCAAACTTACAGCTAAGACTCGAAGAGTGAGCATTTAAATCATGGTTTTGGACAATAATGACAATAATTATGAAGTCCAACATGACAAAATCTTCTAGTTATTTTCTTTTCGTTTCTGGTTCTGGAATATAGAGAATGAATTTAAGATATGCATCATATCAAAACCATTATAATTGTTAAATCAAAGATTCATTTATCTATTATCACTAAAGTTTCAAACTTAAGGCCTAAAACAATTAACTGGTACTTCAACTTTACAAATTGGAAATTAAGCCAAACAGATTATCTTTTCCCTGAAAGATGTCATTAAATTTTCATACCAGGCAAACTCCACGAATATCATCATATTGCAAATTTGTTATCCGGGGAGAAGAATAAAAAAAGTCAAGGCCCTTTTATGTGTATTTGTCCTCTACCAATCGATGTTTCAAAATGCATGAGTTTAACAACTTATTGACAGTAAATTGTGGCACACCTTGAAGGCGAGAAGAAAAACGATCCTGTGCTTGTGAATATTGCGCAAAAAGGGTAAAAGCCTTTGACCGAAATAGACCGAAATTGAGCTTCCTTGATCTGCTATTTGCCACAGACAGCTGCGACCCATTGTTCAATTCAATGGAAGAGAAGCATGAGAAATAAGACCCAAATCAACCGAGAGACAGCAAACAATGAAACTTATTTCACCTGAGGATAAGGGCAAGGAGTAAACAACGAGAAGCGACCACCTCGCAAAGCCGACAGAGAAATCATCGCCATTTTCTTGCTCTGCTTTTCGCAGAAATGTAAAACGATGACTTACACAAGTGTATGCAAAATAAATATCCTTTCTCCAAGCATACGTCCAGCAAGAAAAGAAGGAAAATTAAAAAAAAAAAAAACTTGACAGTTAGGAGGCCACGTGGCAGGCAGTTCACCGTGTGATCTAGCTGCTGCTTTTCAAGTATTCTTTGCTTCTGATGGAACCATAATTCCCTGTTTTGTATTTTTGTCCATTTTGCATGGCTTAATCTTTGGGGCTTTCGGGCCTGTGACTGCACTTCATACAAAAAGATGTTTTTTTGTGTCTGCAATTTTTGAACAGAGGCATTTTTGCACAAGTTTTGAACAGTGTTTGCCCATAGAGTTATCCATCTGATGCATTTTTGCATATCCACATAGAGGAGTTCATTTCCTAGAAGTAGAAACGCCATTGAATTATATATATTAAGGAGTTAATCCTCATGTTTTATTGCAATTCTTGTCTTCGTATTATGCGTTAAGAGAGGAGTAGAAGAAGCTTGTCGCAACAATCCATATGTGAAAACAAGGAACAAAGTTTGAAACATGGAATCCAAATGACAACAGCTATTGAAAGAGATCAAAAAAAAGTTGCAGAGCAAGGGAAGACTGCCACTTTAAATGCTAAGGACTGCTTGAATTCTCAATGTACTATAAATAATCAATCTTATAAAAACAAATTTACAAATTAAAAACAGCAGAGACAAATTTGATTCTTGTCATTTCAAGTTGCCAAATTTATGATAATTTTATGAATCTGTATCCGATCCCGATTTTGACTCTGCATCTGATTGGAACTCTGGCGGTTTGATTCTATTCATATTTGCTTCTAATGGCGGGAGCCCATCATCATCACTTGAATCAAACTCATCATCTTCTTGTTGTGAGGTACTCTTGTGCAGACTTCCATTAGAATCATCCGAAGTTGTGGACTTGAAGATTTCTGGCCTGCACTCAGTGACATTTGGCGAATTAAAAGAAAGGACAATATAACAGTCAGGAGAAAAAAAGGAAAATGTTACTAATAAAGAGCAGTTATCAACCAAGTTTTCTGACTTCAAATTAGCTATTCAAGGGAGTTTCCAATTTTGTTACCATATACTCAATACGGCTGTTGCGGAAAAACAAAACATAAATGATGTTAGAATGAATTAAAGGGCCACAAAATCATCTAAAGTCTCACCACTGTAACTTCTAAGCTATATATGCTGCTTGCTACAAATAAAGATAAGAATCACTACTGGATTGAATAACTCAATACGCATATCAAGACACTGTTTAGTTCAATTTTTGAGCAAGATTTATGAAGCGAGAATGCAGCAGTAGCATTGGAATAGCATTTCTTTTATTTAAATTCTAATTTTAGGATGTGAAGGAAATAAACCATTCAAGAGATTTCCGAAGTGCTCGAACTTGTTCATAAAAGAGAACTTGAGAAACTATACAGGCCACCTTGCTGCCTGACTCTAGGGCTTTCTGTTTTCCACTTTCATCAACAACTACAAAACTCCCTGCATATCATCAAATCAAACATTTTAATATGTTTCCATCGTATATTGGAGTTCAAATACTTGACCAAATAAACAATGTAAAAGCAAAGATTGGTTATCCATTGAAAGCAGACCTCGTTTTATCCACATGCTCTTTTGGAATTTAGCTGGAAACAGTGCCAGTGACTTCTCGCCTCTTGCATCCATCACCTTGAAAAAGGGAGACGTTGGCACATTATAAGATAAAAATTACTAGCCCCATATGTGCAGTATATAAACTAAAATAGGGTAATTTCACCACAGTGGTATATGAGAAACAGAAATAACAAAGCTACTGATCCATGTTCTCATGTTCACTCTACACAAAAATCTCAAACTTGTAAATGAGTATTTTTCATGTTCTTAATCAACTTTTTCACAGCACAAGTAAAACAGGACAGCATACAGTAAAGAAAAGGAAAAAAAGAAAAAAAGAAAAAACGAAAGCTACCGATAATATTTGTATGTATACGGCAAATAATCACATCTGCTCATAAGAATGAATTACAAATAGTTATTTGTTACTTGAATAAAGCCATAGCCATTTAGCTCAGGGCATTAACACTCACTCATGCCAAAGATAACGAATTTTGCAAATTGGATGAGGAAAAGAAATAAATTCTGTAACGTCAAAAGATTAAAGATGTAGCATTAGCTTCAACAAAGACAGAGAAAAAAGAACCTCAATGACATTGGAACCTCTAAGAGACACCACTTGAGCGATGCTTTTGCCATCTTCAAGCGTTAAGTTATGTTCCTCAGCCGCCCTCTTCAGATTCTTCCTTCCTCCTTTCATTATATTCCACCTCCTTTAATTACAGTTATTGCAATTAGGTTTTAGGGTTTTCTCTTCAGAGATAGAGAGGGAGAAAAGCTAAGAACTTGGATGATGTGATTGATTATTGGCCTAACCTACTGGATGATCATTTCTCCAATCGCCTTTAGCTCAGTCAATTTGTTTGAAATAGATTTGCTTTGAATTCGTTTCTATATTCCCTAAGATTGAGAGATGGGTCAAAGAAAAAAGTTTATGGCTTTGAAGAGGAGTAGATAGTTTATTTGTAGGTTTAGAGGAAGAGTTGCAGAGGGAGACAAGTGAAGGGCGGCGATGATGAAGTGATGAGAGAGGAGGAGGTAAGGTTTCGAGCTGATGAAACGGTGTGTTTTGCTTCCGCTTTGAGCTCGAGTTAAAGTTAACCAAGCTCTGTAGTGGGACCCGCTGTTATATTATTTTAAATCTAATCCAATTTAAGTTTTGCGGCACGGTGAAACAATAGGTTAGGCCTCGATTACAATTGCTAGGGGCATAATGTAAATTCAGAGAAACACAGGGGCATATACAACAAGTTATCTAGTAGTGTTTAACTAACACCAACCTTCTGATTTGCGCGTGAATTGCATTCGCGGCCTGCAAGCGACCAGGTCGGAGACATGCTCGCTTCTTGATTCAAGCTCTTCGCACAGCCACTGTGAATTATTTTTTTACAAGGTTAGTGTTCTTATTGATATATCCTTTATAATACAGTTGCTTCCATTGGTGACCATAGCTTCCATGTTTTTTGTTTTGTTTGTTGAGCTTGCTTAGAAAAGAAAAAAATCTTTCTCCTTTTTATCAAATTTCTTTGTCAAATCGCGCAAATTTATTACTTCCTTTGTAAAAACGAAATTTCGCACTTCCTCACTTCGTATTGAACTCACTTGTGTCAAAAAACGATGTAATTGCTTTTCTTTTATGTACTTTTCTTTGGATTTTTCTGACAGCACTTGCTCAAGTTTTAATTGGTGCACAATCGACCTCTAATATATTGTTTTAGGTAATAACTTTTATCGTTTTTTTTTTGTTCTGCATGTGTTTACTTGCGTGGTCCTTGTTTTAGTTTGCTTGTAGTAATGGGCAGAAGGAAGCAGGCCCGTCCGCACAGGTCTGGTGGATTACTTATAGCAAACAATGACGCTGCTGAGGTTGAATTGGATAAACAGAGAGCAACTGAGACTCTGTCTGCAGAAAAGGGGGAATCTGTTGCCACTGACATACCGTATTATGTAGAACTTGATAGGTCCAATTGGGCTTCAAATGAGCATCTTGATATATCTGAAGTTATCTTAAATGATATGAATTTGACAGAAGCATATTCTAGTTTCAGAATAGATGCAGACTTCTATCAGGACTCCAAGTATTTGTTAAGATTTCGAGTGTGTAATATTGATGAGTTTGTCCTTGATCGTATTAAGTTAGGTCATTGGCCTGTGCTTTCCTCTAGTGAGGTATCTTTGGAATTGATTGAGAAATGCATGGTTGAGGATGAGGAAATACAATCACTAATTTTCTCTGGGAGTCTTGATGGACCGGACGAGGGTATTACTGGTCTTGTTCACTTGACAAGTATGGAATTTTTGACATTGAGGCCAGTTCTGGGCTTTAAGTTTTCAGAGGAGATGATGCCTGTGAGAGTTAGGGTGGAGATACTTAAGAAAGCTTTTGACGCTTGTGAGTCCCTTCTAGAAAACACAAGGAACCTATGGAAGAAGAGTATGACAAATGTCATGGCCTGGCTGCGACCAGAAGTAATGACTTCTGAGGCTAGGTATGGGATTACTAAAACTGCAAATATGGAACTTGACTTGGTTGCAGAGATGGGAGATGATACCTCCAACTCTAGGAAACGTTCAAGGTTTGACGTTGCTGGATTCTATGAAGCTATTAAGCCATCAAAGTGAGTGCATATAATTGAAAGTTTTAATGTATTGTTCATTATGCATTGAAGAGATTATTTAGTCACGCATGAACATGACCATATTTTGTCTTTTTCTCTTCAAACTGGAATTTAGTCGCTGGTTTAATTATTATTATTATTTTTTATTATTTTTTGTACAGATCTGCTCCAATGCTTGATGATGACCTACCTGACTTGCTTCCTATTCTGAGACCATATCAGCGTCGTGCAGCTCACTGGATGTTGCAGCAAGAGAAAGGAGTTTCAAAAGATTCAGGTGAAAGGGAAATAAGTCAATTCTTTTCTCCCTTGTGTATGCCTGTGGATTTTCTTGACGGTTCTTCAACAATGTTCTATAATCCATTCAGGTATAATTATTTCTCTCAACATTGATTGTTAAAGTCCTGATTTCCTTCCTCTTTCTAAGAGAACACCCCCACAACCTCTCTTTTTTTTTTTTTTCTCACTCACATTTGTAAATTCTTCAGTGGCAACATTTCATTGTGCCCGATGTTTACTTCACCATATATCTTTGGTGGGATTCTTGCCAGTATGTACTCCGATACTTTGTCCTCCATTTGTGTAATTTTTGACAATGAGCTGGTATTTTTTTCTTTTACACACTTCTATCCACATTCAAATTTTCAATAAAGATTAGAAACCCCAAAAAAGAAAAAAGTGTAAGATTTTGAGGTTTCTATATAGGGATGGTTATAAAGTTATTAGTATTCTTGTTACATACATGGTAATCATCCTAATATTGGGCGTACGATTTGGTCCATTCAATTGGTGGCCTAAAGAGAGAATTGACTGAAATATATGGCAATTATACTTAAACTTGGGACTTGATTTTCCATAGTCAATATGGTAAGTTTAACTTTTGAACACGTCCTAAACTTTAGGGGGATTAAAGACATGATTTTCCCAATTAATTGTCAGATGGGCTGTCTCCCCTATTCTTTGTAGTCCTAAAGGTGAAAGAGTAGCAAAGGTGACCCTTGCTGCACCTCAAGACATCACCTGCCACACCTCATGTCTTTATTAATTATGTTTGAGAGAATTAGGAAAATTTATAATAAAGATTGGTTTCTCCTTAGGTGCATTCTTCCACCAATTAAAACTATAGGTTTTGCTCGGTAAAACATCCAGAGATTAATAACGATAAAGATATAGCTAAAAGAGATTTCTGAACCTCAATAAAAACAATGAAAGTGAATTATGAGAATTATGTTTGTAGTTCGACATAATCTAATGTTGGTATAGTGATTATGATCCTTTTTGATAATCATTTATGATTACACAGACGAGATGGGTTTGGGGAAGACAGTTGAACTGCTTGCTTGTATATTTGCACATCGGAAGTTAGCATGTGAAGATGAATGTGAAGATGGCATCTTCATTAATAATGCATGGCAAGATGTGGGAGATCAGAAAGTAAATCTTAGAAGATTGAAAAGAGAACGTGTTGAGTGCATATGTGGAGCTGTGAGTGAAAGCTATACATATAAGGGACTATGGGTACAATGCGACATTTGTGATGCCTGGCAACATGCAGATTGTGTTGGTTATTCAACTAAAGGGAAAAAGAAGAGATCAATGGTTGAGGTACAAAAACATAGAAAGAAAACTACAATCAGCTTTGTTGAGAGAGATGGAGAGCATATTTGCCAGATGTGCTCTGAATTGATACAAGCTACCGATTCTCCAATAGCTACCAGTGCCACTCTTATTGTCTGTCCAGCACCTATATTACCTCAGTGGCATGCTGAAATTGCACGGTATACTATCGATTTGGCACACTTGCGAATTCCAGAATTTCAGTAGACAGTTTTAGTATGTTGGCCGTTTGAGAAATTTGTATTTAATTTTCTATTTTTGTGACATTTTCTTTGGATGTGTTCTTCTGTTGTGACCATGTTTTATCTTCCAAGTGCATAAATGAATTTTGGTCAAAATCATGAGCATACAAACTTCTCACACTTAATTTTTGGATGTTTTGTGGACACATATCTATATATATTTACTAGACCTAATTACCATCTTCGTATTTTCCTTATCCACGTCATTGATATAAATGGTATTTTTCCAATTACATTTTTTTTTATGGAAACGTTTGATGTGGAGTATTTTTCACTATTGTGTGATATTTTTTTAATTCTATTATCATACACTTTTGTTCCTATGCATCAAATTTATTGCTAACTTGATTATCATAATTTTTTTTTTCTTAGCCATACACGTCCAGGTTCCTTAAAAACTTGTGTATATGAAGGTGTACGAGATACATCTCTTTCAAATACATCGGCAGTGGACATTAATGAATTTATTGGTGCTGATATTGTGTTGACAACATATGATGTGCTCAAAGAGGATTTGTCTCATGACTCTGATAGACATGAAGGTGATCGACACTTCCTGAGATTCCAGAAAAGGTTCTTACAAACCTTGTCAGTTGTTTTGTTAGAAATGATCTTTATCTTTGCTTAAAAACGGGTTATCTTTGTGATTTAAATTGTGATGACCAATTTCTTGGAAATTTTCCCTTAGATTATAGCTTTCACTAAATCTTGTATAATCTTAATCACAATACATTAAGAAACACATGTTGCATGGGTATTTATTTGTTTATCGGCCCATGTTTATATCTACAAATAAATGAGTATGGATTGTTACCAGAAATGATTGTTGACATTGATATCTGCAAACATTTTCTTATCTCTGTCATTCTTTCTGAAAGGGTTTATGCTTTTATAATGGTTCTTTCGGATAATAAATTAGCTACATCACGCTTCGAGATTTATTTGAACTGAGGATGTCAAGATGATCTGTGGCCGTATTGTTGCAGGTATCCTGTTATTCCAACTCTTCTCACCAGAATATTTTGGTGGAGGGTTTGCTTGGATGAAGCTCAAATGGTGGAGAGTAATGCTACTGCTGCAACAGAAATGGCTCTTAGATTGTCTGCTAAGCACCGTTGGTGTATCACAGGGACTCCTATACAACGGAAACTTGATGACTTGTATGGACTTCTAAGATTCCTTAAAGCAAGCCCTTTCAATGTTTCTCGGTGGTGGATTGATGTTATAAGAGACCCATATGAGGTATGTGATACTCAAACAAACTGGTATGCCTTGCGGATATGAGTGTACTATTAAATTGGGATCTGCCCTTTTATTCTTTAATTGTTTCATGCTTCATACACATTTTGGGTAAAGATATTTTATGTTTGTATGTTGTGCAAATTTCTTAATTTTGCCCCACACTGTTACAGAGGAGAGATGCAGGAGCCATGGAATTTACACATAAATTCTTCAAACAAATCATGTGGCGGTCTTCAAAAATACATGTTGCAGATGAGTTGCAACTCCCACCTCAGGAAGAATGTGTCTCCTTGCTCACTTTTTCTGCAATTGAAGAGCACTTTTACCAGAGACAGCACGAAACTTGTGTGAGTTATGCCCGTGAAGTTATTGAAAGTTTGAGAGATGATATTCTCGAAAGAGGAGTCCCAGGTTGTTTATGGCTGTCTCACACCTTCATCTAAGAGTCACTTCATTTTGAACATATCCTAAAATGTTTATCTGTGGAAAGCGAGTTTTTGAGTGTCTAGCATTCATTCTTGCTTTGACTAGGTTGTTCCTCTTTGGATGCTTCGGCTGATCATTTCATAACCCATGCTGACGCTGCAAAGCTACTTAACTCACTCTTAAAGCTTCGCCAGGCATGCTGCCACCCTCAAGTAGGAAGTTCAGGGCTGCGTTCTGTACAGCAATCCCCCATGACTATGGAGGAAATATTAATGGTTGGTTAAAATAATGGAAATCCTTTAGGAACATGTGCTTCCAAAACTTCAGCTGTTGTTCTTTTTTTTTACTGAGACTTTCCTTTTTTAGGTTCTTATTGGTAAGACGAAGATAGAAGGGGAAGAAGCTCTCAGGAAATTAGTTGTTGCTCTAAATGCACTAGCAGGAATAGCTATAATTGAACAAAAATTTTCTCAAGCTTCATCATTGTATAAAGAAGCATTGTCTCTAACCGAAGAGCATTCTGAAGATTTCCGTTTAGACCCTTTATTGAATATTCACATTCATCATAACCTTGCTGAGATACTTCCAAAGGTCATTGAGAGCTCCTCCCAACTCTCCTCAAATGTACAACAATTACATGGAAACTGTGAGAAGTCCTCCAAGAGGGACAGCATCGAAGATTGTGATATAAATGCTGCGAAGAGGCAAAGAGTTACTGGAGAGTATAGTTCGGATTTTACTATTAATGTTGAGAATATGCTAGTTCCATCAGAAAGTTGCTTAAATGGTAACCAAGGAAGAGATGACAAATCCAATGTATCATCAAAATCCTTCAGTGCGAGGTCATTAAGAACAACATGCGAGGAATTGAAACAGAAATATCTATCTGTATTTGCCACAAAGCTCTCTATGGCTCAACAAGACTTCAGGAAGTCATACATGCAGGTGTGTTTCCTCCATGCTGATCCACATAGAACATGTTATGGCACATTCATAACTGCATAGATCTCTGTCATTAATACGTGATGCTATTAAACATATGTTATTGACAATAAGTTACTGAATATATATGTATAGACTTTTCTAGACAAAGTTGTGCAACCTTGATGTACATTTCTCCTAATTGACCTACGAGCTAGCCGTAAAGTGGGTACCTTAAAGAATCAGACCCTGCCTTATTTTACAAATCCTGGTTGGATATGTAGAAGCTCTTCTTTCATTTTATGGTCAATTGCTATTCTAACACTTTTCACATTTGTTGAGTTGTCAACTCTATGAAACACCATGGGCATAAAGGTGCAGGCTGGAGTTATTTTTACAAAAGAGCTTTTCTTTCTCTGTCTGATGGAAAACAAAAGTCAAATATGTTGGTGAATAAAACTATTCCATGTCAATTTGTTCCGCATAATAATTGGTGGAGTATGTCATAGTGCACCCCAATTTTGGCATGTTATTAATTATCATCAATGCCTAACAAAAGAATTTCCAAAATTATCTCCCACTTATTACTTATTTTCTAATATCTGAGTTTAAGAAAAATTATATTCTTTTGAAGGTTTGTAATGCATTTAGTGACAGAGAAAATCAAGATACAGCTTGGTGGTTGGATGCTCTTCATGAGGCTGAGCAGAACAAGGACTTCTCAAGAGACCTGATAAGAAAGATTGAAGAGGCAGTCTCGGGAACTCTGAACAATTCAAGGTCATCAAGAATTGGATCTCAGTCAGTGTCTAACTTCCTTTTCCTTTTTTCTTTTTAACTTCTCTGCCAGCGTTTTAAATTACATCACTTTGTACTTTTTTTCTCATAATTCCATTCTTTATATTGTTGGTTACAAGGATATATGAGGCAATGTTTTACGATAAAAAAGCATGAAATGAGATAAGCCATTGCAGCTATTAGTCAACAATTTTTTTTATTCATTAGTCTAGTCTTAAATATTTGTTTGTCTATATGCTTTTCCAGATCTCATTTCTAGTAGTAGTGTTTAACTTTCTTTTATTTTAGTCCAGCTTCCGAAGCATTACTGCTTTAAAGTACCATATCCAGACTCGTTGGGACCAATTGGAAGCCTCTAGGAGAACATTACTTGATCGACTTTTGGAAATTGATGAAACAATGGAGAAACCAAAGGAAGAGGATATTGAACGTGTGAGGTGCTGTCGAATCTGCCAAGCTATTGATGATGGTCCTACGTGCATTCACTGTGAACTAGAGGAATTATTTAAGGTGTTTTATCAAATCACTTACTTGCTTTGATGTTTTATTTATTAGTTCATGAAAAATTAAAATTAACATGCTTTGATGTTTGATCTTTTAGTTCATGAAAAATTAAAATTAACAGAGAAATAAAAGGAAGACCTTTCATTTTTTTTTTCCCTTCTTTCTTCAGGATTATGAAGCAAGGCTTTTTCGTCTTAACAAATCCCATGGAGGGATCATTGCATCAGCTGAAGAGGCAGTAGATCTGCAGAAAAAAAGCTCTGCATTAAATCGTTTCTATTGGAATTTATCAGGGCCAAATAAAATTTTATCTTCATCTGTTGATGCTAATGAAACATCAAAGAAGAGAGGTGCTGGGGAAAGAGTAATGGTGAGATGCTTTATCTTAGGAGGCCCAACTAAATGAATTTCTCCTTTGATGAGCAATTTTTTCTTGATATTACAGAAGGCATCCAAGAATATGTTATAAGTCACATATATAAAGGGGGCACTTGTTAGAGTTGTAGTAAGCACAATGTGGTAGTGAAAACGAGAGTAGCAGTCCCTTTTTAACTTAATATGATTGCACTCCAAATTGTTTACACAAGATTTGGGTTTTTCTTTTTAAGTCCTTTATGGCCATATAAGCATACACTAGATCGTAAGTTGGTATTCCATTGTTGGAGCACGTTCATGTGTAGCAGGAAAATCTTTTTGGTTTTTTTTAATGGGATAGCTATCTTTATCAAATATTCTAACTATAAAACAAACGGTAAGAATAGTAAGAATATTGGCACTCATAATTATATAAACCAGGAATACTCAACATAGGGTAACATATTTGCACTCATAATTATATAAACCAGGAATATTTGCACTCATAATTATATAAACCAGGAATACTCAACATAGGGTAACATATTGAGCAAATCTTTCTTTGCACTATCCATCTTTTTCATTACTCACCAAAAAGCTCGATTTAATAGATGGATGGACCTAGAAAATGTATAAACTAGGATTAGATTTCACCCATTAGAAATTGATATACACTGGTTGTGCAATTACAATGGGCCAACTTTAAATAGATTATTGGGTTCATCTCTTCTTTGGTGTCAAGAAAATGGCTAGAATAGCCATTGACTTCTAGAAAAGACCTATTATGGGACACAATGGATTACAGATATGAAAGACCTTCCTCCAAGCTGTACATATAACTTTCATCGTGTTAAAGTCCATGGGCAAGTACACACATGGGCTTAAGTGAGCAAGTGATGGAACCCACTTGCACAAAACCAATTGGCTTATGCTAGGTCCACTACGCATTCCATTATGATTCTTTATTTATTTTACTATTGTTCAGTGTGGGGTTCATCTCCCATCAAATGTGGCTTTCTGTATAGATAGATCTACATGTAGCTACGAGATTGAGTATGGAATTCTGTTCTTTTTAAGAAATAAAGTTTTTCAATCAGAATATGAACCAAGAGACCCTTAAATACTAGAATCAATAACTGAAAACTCACCCAATAGAAAATTCTTCAATTTTTCAAGAAATGGCAGATCTATTCACGAGTTCAATTTGGTGTATCATAAGGGACTTACCTTATAAATACCTTAACTAGCATGTTGCTTAAAATTTTTTGATACAGTCAGGTTATGCAGAAATGCAAAGACACTGTCAACCTTTTTTTCCTTTTTGATGTAATACAATGAGAATTTATTGTTTTCATCATTGCTATTATAATTAGATGATTACATTATACAAGCGTGCTGTTACTTATACTTGTTCTATTAATGGTGTTGAGTTGATAGGTTTCAAAATCACCCTCTGAATTGGAGATCATTTTTGGTGTTTTAAAGAGCCATTGCAAAGTCCAGTTGAGGAGGGAGGGACTTTCAGCAGCCAGCAAGCAGCTGCATATTCTGGAGGTTTGGACTGACTGATCCATTTTCACTGCTAGCATCTTCTAAAACAGAACTGCTTCATTTATTATTAAACCCTTTATATTGTTGTGCGCAAGCATCAAATACCTGTTAGAAATCTGATTTTGTTTTCAATTCATTTGGATTTTACTTTTTCAAGGGCATGAGGAAGGAATACAGCCATGCCAGGTCCCTGGCAGTTTCCCAAGCTCAACATCTGCGTGCTCATGATGAAATTAAGATGGCAACTTCACGTTTGCATCTAAGAGTAGATGAGAATGACAACTCAATTGATGCTTTAGGTCCAAATGAATTAGAGTCTGCAAGTGTGCTGCACTCAAATGAAAAGTTCATTTCCTTGACCTTGTTGTCACGTATAAAAGGGAGGCTTCGTTATCTGAAGGTATCAACTCAACCTTATAAAAACTTCTCATGTTTTAGATAATTATCTTAGAAGAACATTGCAATTCCTGTGCTGTAGCCCTGCTCTCCTTTCTTGCTTGTCACTGCATGAATGTTGATATGTAGCAAGGAAATGATATTTAGTGTGTTTTATGATAATATTATTGGTAAACTATCCACTTTCTCCAATATAAAGCATGCAAAATCTGAAGGTGTGACGTTTGTGCCAATATCTTCAATATGCATCTGTCAACTCATTCCATTTTGTAACTTTTATATATTACCTGTTGGTGTCTTCCTTTTCCAAGCAGAATTTTGGTCTTGCAATTGTAACACTATTAGGTAAGCGGGAGTGACATAAGAACCAGTTATTAGGCCTGGTTTCTTGATCACTAATTTCATTATATATTTACCTCTTTCTTTTGCAATTTGCTGCCTTAAAGCTGAAACAGGTGCAGCTATAAAAGGAGAAAGCTAGTAGCTGTTATTAATTGAGAAATTTGTTGTGTATTTATCAATGAATAACATAGGTTTATATACAAGAAATTCATGGGCTTTTTAGGACTAAAAATCATTAACTGATTAGGAATACTAATTTTCCTTAACACTCCCCCTCAAGTTGGATCCTAGATGTTAATCATGCCCAACTTGTTACAAATATAATCAACAAAACCCCATTTAAAGCTTTTGTGAAAATATCAGCCAATTGTCTCCAGTTTTAACATAACCTGGGGAGATAAACTTTTCTTGAATTGTCATGAACAAAGTGACAATCAATCTCAATATGCTTGGTGCATTCATGAAATACTAGGTTAGATGCAATATGAAGTGCAGCTTGATTATCACGCCATAACTTAGTAGGTAATGAAGATTTAAGGACCAACTTCACTCAACAGTTGATACATCCTTACAATCTCACACACAGATTGTGTCATGGTTCTATACTTTGATTTTGCACTGGACCAAGAAACCACATTTTTGCTTGAGAGGTTTTTACAATAACTTTTTCAAGGCCCTATCTTGAATAAGTGAATTCCACAAAATTTTATATAGTTCATTTGCAATTTCATAATTTCATGTTAGTATGAATAGGAATGGTATTTCATTCCTAAAACCTAAAAATTTATGAAATTCAACATAACTAATCAACTTCTATCATTTGTTATTGAGCTAAGTCTCTTTTTTCTGTATTAGTTGTTTTGTGTTTGATAGGAATGCAGCTTATCTTTGGTGTTGTAATCTCCTTTATTTGTTAATGAAGATTTTTTCTTTTGAAAAATGTCAAAAAAATTATGATCCAATCGGTGAAATTTTTAAATGTTTCTTTCCTGAGTTTTCTCTTTGGCATGGGTAAAGGGATGCTAGATTTAGAAAGCTCATACATGCTAACTTTGTTGTACATTCTTAAAACCAGATAAAATATGTTATGCATTGCCATTATTCTTACTATCTGATTTTTTCAGGGTCTGGTATTATCCAAGCAGAAGTCACCATCAGTAAGTTCATATAATTCTTCAATAACTCAAGAAATGGCAACACTGGCGATGTCTACAGAGAAGACAAGTGAAGACTTACCTAAAGATGTTGAGGAATCATGTCCAATCTGTCAAGAAAAGCTAAACAATCAAAAGATGGTTTTCCAATGTGGGCATTTTACTTGCTGTAAATGTAAGTTTTACCATTTGTTTTCTTCCCAAGAATCGGTATGATGCTTTGTTTATGTCAAATGCCACTATGTACCACTGTTAATTCGGGTCTTCGTTTGTGAACTCCCTTGAATGAGTAGAAAATTATGAACCATTTAAACAGTGCAGGCCACCCCTTTTTCCCCTCTCATCTGCACCTGTATGTCTATGGGATCTCCTCAACATTCTTTTCCAATTTCCATTTCATGCTTGTTTCTTTCAGGTTTATTTTCCATGACTGAGCAAAGACGGCATGATAATAAGTTCCAACGCAAATGGGTAATGTGCCCAACATGTCGGCAGCATACAGATTTTGGGAATATTGCCTATGCAGATGACAGACAAGACAAATCTTGTAATATGGCTATTTTAAATACAGTTGAAGGTTATGAAAAATATGAAGCGTCTTTGGCTGTTCAAGGTTCATATGGAACAAAGGTGTCTTTTCTAAATTAATTCATTATGATATATTGTATGCTTCTATTTATTGGAAAATAGGAAAAGGAGAACTGATTTTAGTTTTTTGAAGGACATGAAAAAAACTCTCACAAACACATAGCAAAAGAAAAGTTAGAGATGGAGGAAAACTTAAATCCATTACTCAAGGCAGAGGATTTACAAAGCATAAAACAAAGATTTGTTCTTTTTTCTTTTCTTATTCATTTTCATTACTTTCCAGCTCTCTCCTACTCTCAACTCTTTCCATTTCTCATTCTCTTTTACAGCAGCTTCCTTTATTTAGGGAGAAAAGTTTCTCGATGTACTACAAAAGATAATTTTCCTTCAACAAGGAATACCATTGCTTTTAACTAAGAGATAAAAGTACCCAGAAAAATCTCATCTACTCCAACACTATATTATGCATGCATAAACTTCCTAATTCCTGGTTCACATATGTGTGTGTGGTTTTTATTCATTTTTGTTATTTTTATTGCCATAACATAACTCATTCTAGCATTTTTATTAATTTTCTCCTTCACCTTACTAAAGTGCATTTAGATGTCCAAGCAGTCACCAGAATAATCTTGTTGTTTATTTGTATGGTTATGTACATGATTTGATGCATTTATGTTCCTTCTTTTGCAATACTTAATTATTAATTCTTGTGCACATGCATATCTGTGTAAAATGAAGATTGAAGCAGTCATGAGGAGAATCTTGTGGATCAAGTCTTCTGATCCTGAAGCCAAAGTTCTGGTTTTCTCAAGTTGGAATGATGTTCTTGATGTGTTAGAACATGCACTCGATGCGAATGGTATCACCTATATTCGGATGAAAGGAGGCAGGTAAGAGGATCTACTAAACTTGCTTAATTTCTCTGAAACTCATTTGGATCTTGTAGAGTTCATTGTATCGACACAGAAAGGCCTTGCCACTTATTTTGCACTACTTTCCAAATAACAGTTTTTGGAATCTTCTTATTTGGTAACTCAAATGAAATCATGGAGAAATAATTTCATTTCAAATGAAAGTAACTATCAGCTCCAGTTTCAAAATAATGGCATAAAAGAGGTGCTCCCTTTTGCCATAAGCATTCTACCACGACCAATGTGTTGTCAATTGAGAATGCCAGAGTTTAGCATCTATTCTAATCACAGTTGAGCTGTGTTTTCTTTCATTCTACCCTAAACATATTTTATATAATGTTTATACCACATAAAAGCTTTGCTTGTATGAAATTCTCCATCTGTTCCTCTTTAATAGCAACAAATAAAGGTTTTCCTTTGTCGCACTTTAAGTACTCATTTAGAATTTTGAGAGTACGTTAATTATTATTTTTCATTTTTATCCATAGTTATTAGGTGTTTTGTAGTCAAATTAAATAGGGAGCTTTTAATTTTAAGAAGGGTAATTTAGATATTTTACCATATATTTTTAGAAAACTAATATATTCCAATCATTTTCTTAATCATTGTGAAAAGACTAAATGTTGCTATTCAAGTGGAACGGGGGAAGTAATATTAAATTCTACTCTCTAACAACCAAAATAATTATATTTTTGGTATGATTGTTGATCACACTGTTTATGGTGTTCATGTTCTTTTGGTATGGTTTCTTAACTACAGGAAAGCACATACTGCCATCAGTGAATTTAGAGGGGAGAAAAACAATTCAAAAGTGAGTCACAAAATACATGGCCAACAAAAGAAACCAAAATCGATTCAAGTGTTGCTTCTCTTAATCCAACATGGAGCCAATGGCCTTAATCTTTTAGAAGCACAGCATGTTGTTCTTGTGGAGCCACTACTTAATCCTGCAGCGGAGGCACAAGCAATCAGCCGAGTACACCGAATTGGGCAGGAAAGAAGAACATTGGTCCATCGCTTTATAGTAAGTGTATTTTCCTTCCATGTTAAATGTTATATACACTTGGATACATTTGAACAACGGATGCAGATGCAATGCCTCACGTCATTTGTATTTGGAAAATTTAAGTTTATCCTCTACAGCAATTGACCAAGTTTTCAGGAATCGGATAGTTTTTCAATAGCTTTTAGCACCTGAATCTCTTTATTATGGGCAACGTTAGTGCAAACAGATGGGATATTCCCGTATGATTTCATGTAGGGATCTTTTCCTTGCCCAATCATAAAGCATTATCTCATTTTAATGGACACTTCTTTTAAATCATCTGATTGAATATTCTGTGCATTTTGTCGATGTTCTTTCTTTAGTTTTGCCAATAAGATGTGCTTTCCTAGATCAGCTTTGCATTTTCTTTCAATGCAAGGGTGATGTAGGACCAGGTAAAGAGAGCACAAAAAACATGGGAATCATTTTTCAGAAAACACAATCTAATCGATCAATGACAGTAAAAGCCTAACAAAAAAAGGCTACTAGGATGCTTCATATAGACATCAAACAGATGCAAAATTAGATAAATAAATTAAATTGTAATATGATACCAAAACTCACATTTTCTAAAAAGTAATTTCTAAAATTTCAAATCTCATCTTTTTTGTCCACATCAAAAGTTTGGGGTGGGATAGTAGGCTAGAAGTTGGTTAATTCAAACAAATATTAGCTTTAGAAAAACTTTACATTTCTAGTCTCTATGCTTTTTCAATTTCTGAAGGGGTCCTGTGGCTTTTATCAGATTTTCTGCTTAATTGATTTGGATCTCTCTCACACACGCACACCTTAAAGATCTCTAACTACTTCTTTTCTCATGTATTTTTCTTTTCTGATGTTAGGTTAAAAACACAGTGGAAGAGAGTATATATAAACTGAACAGGAGTAGAGACACTAGTTCATTCATAAATGGCAATACAAAGAATCAGGATCAACCTCTCTTGACACTTAAAGATGTTGAATCTCTATTTGCGACAGTAACATCCACAGTTCCAAAATGTGATGAAGAGCCGACTGAAAGTCTAAGACATTTGCCTCCTTCTGTGGCTGCTGCTATTGCAGCTGAGAGGAGACTGAAGGCGAATAATACAACGTAACATTTTCTGTTTTTTGCAATAACCATTCTTTCAAATATGCGAAAAACACCAGAATAGAATTGCAGTAGAGCAGCCTTCAACAAGCGGGAAGCATTAATTCTTCCATCAATATTTTGTAGGTTAGACCAAAGACGTGTACAGTTTAGAAATTAGTTTGTTGCTGTATATAACTTTTAAAGTCAAGCTACAGGAAACAGAGTTACAAAGATTAGCTAGCTCCAATTCAAGCTCATTGTATTGTAGATAACTAATATCTTATTCACTACTTGTGGTCCTCTTTTTTAAACTTTCTTCATTATCACAAAACAATCTAGATAGGGAGCACTTAAAGTTTGTCTTATTCTATTGTTGGAACAACTTCCTCGAGGGGGAAGTACAGGGTTCTTTCTTGTATGAATGAATGGCCTATGGGAACTTTTTTGATTGCCATTTTTTTAAAACGTCTTCGTTTATATGTACTGTTGGGCAGGTTTTTGAGTTCCAGTTCGTTACTTGCAAAATTCTAAAATGAGAACCATTCAGGTGGAAAAGATGCAATTGTCTTCTTTTGTTGTTTTTATATTACATTAAAAACGTAAATGAAGAAGTCAGACAGTGAATCAGATTCGAAGATATCTTGAAAATCTTGGTTGCAAAATATAGCAAAAGGATAAAAAAGAATAATTAACCCATTGAAAATCTTTCTGACCAAATTTATCTTGTACCTATGAATTGGAATCAACTTGCAAAACCCCGAGGAGCTGAGAAGATGCAACTAGAAACAAGGAGTCATAGATGGACCATACGGTCACTGCAACAGAAAATATAAACTCTTCTCTTATCAATTTTCTTGTCCTAGATGACCACGACTAAACCACTACGTCAGTACATACGTTATTTCTTTTGGACAAATTGCAAGAACACAGAAAACACAATTACTTGAGAAACGGACGTGGCGATAAATCTTTAAAGCGTGTGCCTTTTCTATAAATCTCCTAACCACCAGTACCGTCACGATTTCTCCACCTACTGTACTTCCACGTCGCCTGTTCTGCATGTCATTTTTCTTCCTTAACCTATGATTAACACGTGGACTTGTGGGCTACCTTCATCCTTAGCCCCCAAATCTAACTTGTATAAACCCCACCCATCCAGCCACCAAAACTAAGCTTTCTGTCAAGAAAAATAGCTAATTCCAATACTTGTAATCAACAATGAGAGCATCTATTTTCCTTAATGAAACATCCTTCCTCTATTCTTCTTCTTCCTCTATTCTTCTTCTTCCTTTCCTTCGCAGAAAAAGAAACTGCCACAGCAGAGTTTTACTCTTCCATTGGCTAGTTTGAGAGAAAAGCCTAATCGGAGGCAGAAGCTACATGGATTGACAGTAGGGTGTGCAAAGGTGACAGAGTTAGCAAGAGAAATGGAGGCAGAGTTTAACCCAGAAGGGGAAGATTGGATTATGGAATTAGGAACTCTGCGAGAGAGATGCAAGGAGAGGAAAGGAGTGGTGGAACTGTTGGAGTGCTTAGAGAGAGAAGCGATCATGGGTGAGGATGAAGGTAGAGATCCTAGCGATTACAATAGAAGAGCTCAGATCTTTGACAAGAGTTCTAGAGTTTTCCAGGCTCTCAAGGAACGTACCACACCACATTCTTCTCACCAATCTTGATTATTTCAGCAATGTGACCGTAAAAATCAGCAGGGTCATGTCAAAATTATGTATTAACTTATCTCAGTCTCGTTCCTATTGATGATCACACATTAAACTGCTACAAGTAATGCTGTATTTTACATGTGATAAGAGGGTTAGCATCGTTTTTCATTCTGCTTGCTTCTCTTCCTGGTTTACCCTTTCCATTTTGTAATACATTTCTCAATATTTTCTCTGGAATAATTACTTTTTAGCAATCCATATTGTTCTATAGCAAATAATACACAAAATAGAAAGGAAAGGGAGTATTTGCATTGTTAGAATGAGTGCCTACAATAAGAAAACATTATCCACATGTAAGAACTCCTGAATACATACATAAAAAGAATTAAATAAAGTCAGACACCAACTGCATTAGTGCTGCAAACCAAAACACTAGTAACTCCATAGCTTACCCTACCATAATGCTAATGTGCTAATGTTAATGTTAATCCATACCAAAGGGCGCACACCTCCTATGAAACAAGACTAACAAAATTTCCAATGGTTATTGCAGTTTACACATGTTACATATGTAGTCATAGGCTCATCAGCACTCCTAGTCTGCATTTGGTGATAGGTGGTCTTCCGTTGGCCGCATCGACCACACTTGAATTGATCTGTTGTGGCTTTCAGGGCACCTCCAACCTCACAGTTAAATAGGGCTTTCTGTTTGATCGTCTCATTTTTCTGTTGCCTCTCATCACTTGCCAACTTGCCATCTCTTCTGAGCTCATGCATACAATTCTCTCTGGATTCACGTGTCTCAAGAAGAATTTTTCTTTGAAAATCAGGATTCTTAGCATACTTAATATTGAACATCAATGATCTATGCTTGATCTTATGTGATCCATTAGAATGACCCCAATTCTGAAACAATACTGACTCAACAGAAACAGCAACTTGAATGGGGTCACATGCCTTCACTTTATCCCAAATCTCATCTTTAGCTTCGCTAGAAACCTTGCATAAAGCCTCATAAAGTTGTTCGTACATCCTGTCTCGCAAGGCATCATTGCATTTTGGGATAGACTCCATTCGTGCCTGTAGAACAGGGCTTGTTGCAACAGTTTCAGACTGGAGAACTTCGACGGGTCTTGGTGTACCATTCTGATCAATTTTCTCAACCTTGACAGTTTCTGTTATGATTAATTCAAAATAATATTATTAAAAATATTTTGAGATTTCAATTTTAGTTAGTGCAGATTTTTCTGCATAAATTTGATGTTTTTGTTATTATGATTAATAATTTTTAGGAGTATTTTTAGATCTTACTTGATTCACTTATAAGCCCGTAAATAGGCATATCTTTTTGTTAATTCAATGAAGTGCTAAACATTGTTAATCATTTTGTGCATTTCCATTTCTCCTTCCCTAAAATTCCATCAGTTTCACGCTTGGTGACTTCGTCAACCCCCAAAGAGGTGTCCAACAGTTTCTGTATCTGCAGATTTTGCTTTTATAGAACTCTTACCCTCTACCGTTCCATTTTTCTTATCACTATTAGTTTGCTCCAGAACCACCTTTTTCCAAAGTGCAAATACATCAGAAGAAAGTTCCCGAATCTTCTTTCTAGAGTGTTTTGTCAGAGGTCGAAGGCGCTTTCCAACCTAAAATAATCACGTTATGAGTTAACAAGAAGGCAAGTTCATCAATTTATTTTCTGTTAAGATTGGCATTATTATTATCAGCATAACAAGAACAGCACCATCTTAAAGATTTTGATTGGAGACAATTAAAAACTGTTTTTAGTTGAGGTACCATAATGCTGTGCATTAACAAAGAAAAAAACAAGCAGTGATTCACTTATCAGATTGAAATACAAACAATCAGATTACGTGGGTGAGAAAAGGGATCTCTCCCAGGGGATTAAAGTTCTGTTGTTATCAAGTAAGCCTTCGTTCATATCTAATGAAAATGAAGAGAGCCATGTACCAAAATAAAGGAACAGAAAAAGGTAAAAGGCCACCTGGGTGGAGACAAGTTGTTGATGTTGGTTTAGAAGAGCAGAAAATTAAGGAAGAGAAGGAAATTCTGCAGAAAAAGAAAAAGCTGCAGATTTTGTGAGTGTGAAGAAACAATTAATAGGAAAATTCTGCCCAGAAAAAGGAAAAGAAGCCTGGCAGATTGTGGAGTGTCGAAAGGAAAACAATTAATCGTTACTTAATCCATACAGCATAATGTAAACATTTTATAGTAGAGCTAGTCTTAAAGTTGTTCACCAACCTTCCATAAGTCAACGAAGGTTTGTCACCAAAAAAAACCTTACCTAAAAGCAAGGTAGTTCACCTACCCTTCTTGATTTCAACAAAATACAAACAAAAATCTAAATGACTTTAACAAATACCTCCAAAAATTGTCCAACAACACTTGCATCAATAGCGTGTGAGCTGTAACTTTACACTCCTCCTTTGATGCAAGAGTATGAGACAAACGCCAAGTCTATTCCTAAGAAATTCAAAATTCTTTTGGTTTTTGCAATGCCTTTGGGTGAAAATATTCTGCTGTTTGGTCTTCAGAATTGCAATTGAATAATCTGAATTGTCATTTTCCTTTTCAGCTTCACCGAATTGCTATGATACTTTGATTTTGATATGCTGGTTTTTCCATGGAAAGATTGGATTTTTTAACCATAGCCAACAAGCTGATTTGTTGTCACAAAGTATTTAGTGGTGATTTCTTGGCTGAAAATTCAAATCAAACTCAATACCTTTCTCAACCATATAGCTTGGTTTACATAGCAGCATGCTGCCAATCATACTTTCTGCTCTGCCAGGTTGCATTGAAGCCAACTGAAGCTTGCTTTCTTGTTCCCCAGCAAATGGACAGCAGAACCAAGTTGGAAAACAAAAACCAGTAGTGCTCTTTCATATCGTCCAATGAACCAGCCCCAATCACTGTCTTGAGAACCCCAACCAACTTCACACCATTTAATCTTCTATAAACAAAACAAATTCAGCAGTTCCTCGCACATATCTCAGAACCTCGTTTGGCTTTGCTGTAAGATTGCGTTTCAGTTGGAAGAATTCATGAATCTCGACAGTAAATTTGTGCAAACATGATATCTGGTCTTGTTACAGCATAAATACAGCAAAAGAAACCCCATGCTCCTATAGTTGAAAGCATCTATAGAGTGAGTAACCATCATCCTTTTGCAATTTATTCCATCGGGCTGTAGGTTGTACTCATCTGGTTGCATTTGCTAAGTTTCAACACCTTTAAGCAGCTCCCAAGCAAATCTTTTGTGAAATAAAAAATCCCTTGCTCATCTTGAGCTAATTTCAATCCCAAGGGAAATAGGATCATACATGTAAGCCAAGAGTCATAACTCTTATCTTCAAAAAACCTGCTGCATCTCAATTTCTGAATCTTGATTAATTAAATTGTTACCTGTGGACAAGTAGATTCGTCAGACATACACAGAAACGATAAGGGCATATCACTTCCTTGCTTGAGTTACGTAAAGTGTTGCCTTCATTCAAGCTTCGGCTTTTAAAACCCAAAATGTTATATGACAAGTAAATTGATGCCAGATCTCTCGGCGCCATACCAGGCCCTTGGTGCTGTTTTAACCATAGGATGCTTTCTTCAACAAAACACACTCTATTTGCTCCATCATTAAAACCTTCAGGCTGCTCAATTATACACTCTTCCTCAGAAGCAACCATTTAGAAAGTTGATTTTCACATCCAGATTGAAAGACTTGCCAACCTTCACTTGCCTGCTAGTGCAAAAAATCAATCTGATAGTGTCAAATCTTGCCAGACTGGTGCAAAGGTTTTTCTGTAAAATCAACTCCCTTGTGTTGAGCGTAGCCTTTTAAACAACATATCTTGCTTTGTGCCTTATTGATGGAGCCATCAGAATTTAATTTCAATTTGAATACCCATTTAGTCCAATTACATGCCTTATTCAATGGTCTTAGAACTAAAATCCAGTTTCGTTCTTCACTAATCATCTTCAACTCCTCCTCGTCATGGCAGCCTCTCACTCAGGCAATTTTAAGGCTTCATCCACCGCTGAGTTGGTTCCAAGTGAGACAACATTACATCTGCTGTAAATTTTTCTCTAGCGGATTCTAGTTCCTCTAATTTGCATAATTCATCTTCATTTGAATTCTTCTATTTTTACATTGTCAACTGAATTTCTTGCTCTTGCCTGAAAATCAAGAATTGATTTAAAGAATTTTTCTGGTTCCATTTGACTCCATCGCATTCACCTTTTTTCATCGAATTTGACACTCACCTGGCAGCTTGGCAAGCACGTAGGCGCCTTATTGAGTACACAGATTTCAACAGCGAACTTTGCGTCTCCGTGAGATTTAGGCGTCCTACAGTAACATAGCAATTCATGCGTGTAGGCCTACTAAAAGTTTTGCCTTTTTTCCAGCTCGTGTGATCCAATTTTCCGCTTCCAGGTCTTTATGGTGCATTTAGATCAAATAAAATGAGAATATGACAATAAAATGACTTCCAAAAGAGTTTGAGTGAGTGGTACCAAAACCTGATGATTGCTAAGTAAACTTCCAAAAGACCAGACTTTCGAAAGGAGTTTTCCGATCAATAGCTTTTGGTTGGAAGCGGATTTTTGAAGAAGATATACAAGGCAAGGTTTACAGCTTCAGCCCCAGCCCAACATCCCTCCCCCCGGGACTGCGGATCCAACACCAACGACCGAATATCTAGCGCTACGGAACGAGCACGTCACGATGTTACGCCAGCAAAGCCCAAAGGAACTTGGGATAGAGATTTTTTCTCAAAAACAAGCAGGACACTCTCGCCATATTCATCACAGATCGATTCTTTCTTTCACTTACACCAATTGTTGAGGTGTGTAAGCCTTACTGTTAATTGATGGTAATGCCAGCTTCTTGCAAATATTGACTTGAATTGATTGGATGTAAATTCCGCCCCAATTATCAGATCTTAAAAAATCTCTGATTATGTTTGGAAGCCAGGCTTGATTCTCTTACCATTGATTTAAACTTCAAGAACATTTTTTTGAAAACTTCAGATTGAATTGAGGAAATATACCCAGGCAGAATCTGGATGTAGTCATCATAAAACAATAGAAAAATACTGGCCTGCCATTGGTAAGATCTGAGACACTCATAGGGCCACACAACATTAGTGTTATTAATTATCAAGTTTCATAGAAGCTCCTCCCTGCTTGATCAGAATTGCGAAAATGGTGGTTTTGGCTGAGGTGCCTAACTGACATAATGTTTCGACACTATACTGCTGTCTTCTCAACTATAGATGACAAATCAGCAACTAACTCTGGATTGTAGCAATTTTAATGAATTGACGATTGGTGTGACCAAGTCTCTTATGCCACAAAATCAGATTCTTCTTTATGACTCAAGCAAGATTCTTCTTTAAAAGTCTCTTAATTTAGAGGAACAGCTTCTCCGTTTTCATTTTGACAGTCAAATAACTTTGAGCCAGAAGGATCACTTATTTCACAAGTTATCTTTATTTAAATAGCCAAAACTGTAATTCTTATCCGAGCAATTGACCAACCGAAAACAAGCTTTGATTTATTCCGGTACGTAAAGACATGCGGGGAAACACAAGCTTTGTACCTGAAGGAGTTTGTACCAATCACATCTCCTTTTGGCCTTTGACATCAACAAGCCTACCATCTCCAAGGTCATGACTTTTGAAAGAATTAGGTGTGTATCCAAGGCTATCGAAAATTCACCAAAGTGGTGTCATTGGTGGTTTAGTGCAAGCCTAACTATCAACAAGCCATGCTTCTTTAGCTTCAATTGAGACACCCACATTTTTCAATTTCATTTCTGCAAATAGTTGTTCTTCATACTTTTTCAGAATTTTCTGTGACTTGTGCATGATGATGGGCTTGTGTTTGCCTGATTCTGGTTTTTAGAACAAACTTTCTCATGTGTGACCAACATTGCCTTACACACTACATTGAGCTCCAGGTCTAACCAGCAGAGTTCTCAGTGTTGGTTTGGTTTTTGCAATGTGGTATAGGACAAGGTGGAAAATCTGTTCCTTCCTCCAATTTTTTCTGAATTCTTCTTCATTTTGGTTTCTGTCAGTGCTGGGCGCTCTTGAACCTCTTCTTGCATTTTTGTTTTATGAGTCAAAACAACAAAGAGCCTTCTTCCAATGGTTTCTTCTTCCCTATAGGCTTTTCTTTTGTTCTACAGCTTGTAGAGGCATTTTGAAAGCCACATTCCAAGGATATTTGGACATTCCCAAGTTTCTTTCAAGAGAAGAAAATCTTGTACTTCAAATTTTCAGGGAAGAGTCACCATAAAACTTTCTCCACATTCTCGGTCTCTCTAACTCTTCTCCCAACAATCGAATTTGGTTTACAATTTTCATAAACTCTATCAACATAATCTTTCCACCTTTTCATTTTCCTTTCATTTCCAACATTTCAAAATTCTTTTTCTTAAATTGAATTAATATCTGCATCTGTCTTAGTTTTCAGATTCCATGGATAACTCAATTTTTTAACTTCTCCGAAGTTCATGTGCTGTCTTCACAATGTTCCATAATCTTTGGTGAAGATAGGGATCCGCAAACAGCTGGCATGGATATAGGACAGAGCTTTTGGAGCCCTTAGCAAACCTCTTCTTCATGTTGTCCTAATTCGCTGAAGGTGGATTTGATATTAAGAGGTGGACGGTACTCTGTTTTCCTCCACATACTGCCATAATGCAAGGGGGGGGGCCCCCCTTGAAATAAGCTCTCATCTTCACAGCCCTAAGACATGATAGTTTTTCCCCATTTAAAAACTGAGATTGGTGGTAAAAGAGACATGCTGCTGGAAGCCCATTTTGAGGAAAAGGCAAATAAACAGAAAAAACTTCACAAATTCTGGTTTATTTGGTCGGCTTTCTTCCTTATTGACTTTCACGTAAACACACACACAGCCCCTTGAGATCAAAGGGTTGCTCTGATACCACTTGTTGGTTTAGAGAGCAGAAAAAATTAAGGGAGAAAGAGAAGGAAATTCTACAGAAAAAGAAAAAAGCTGCCAGATTTTGTGATGCGTTGAAGAAAACCAATTAATTTCTTTATTAATTCCATTACGAGCATAATGTAAAACATTTATAAGTAGAGCCTAGTCTAAAGTTTGTTCACCAACAACTTTCCATAAGTCAAGAAGGTTGTTCACCCCAAACCTACCTAAAAGCAAGGGGTAGTTCACCTACCTCTGATTTCAACAAAATTTACAACAAAATCTAATGACTTTAACACAAAATACCTCCAAAAATTGTCAATCAACCACTTGCTATCAAATAGCTGTAGCTGTAACTTTAACAGTTGAAAGGTTACTGGGAAGCGCCTTAAGCTGAGTCAAGCATCAAGGCATGTCAAGCGGCATCGACTTTCCTCAAACTCCGTCCCTCCCTCCGGACACCGCTCCTCACCAGCCGCGCCTTCCTTGCGGCTTCAAATAGTTCCACCAATTCTCTGCCTTTTCTCTATCCGTCACCATGAATTATTTTATATCCACCGCACCTGAAAATAATTAAAAAAAAAAATCATATGCAAAAGCACAATAATGCATTACAGATGTCAAGTATGGAGGTACTTTCTTGGTTTGCAGGCAGCCGAAGCTTCAAAGGCAACGCCATTCAAGAGAAAGAGTGAGGAAAAAAAAAGGATGCACAGGGATAAGACATGCACATATGTAGAAAAAAATTAGAGGAGGAGGAGGAGGGGTAGAAAGATCCGACGGCTAACAGAAGTAAGGCCATGCCCAGTTTAATTGAACTTTCAGTTTACAGAAACCGATGCCATGTGTCAAAATTTTAAATATGAACCTGAACCCGCTCTTAAATTACCAGTTCCACTCCGGTTCCGTTAACGAACCGACGGTTCCGATTACGATTTCCAGGCGATATATGTTTTTTTAAAAAAAAAAATCGGTTCGAACGTTATATTTTTCTTTTTGAAAATATAATATGAGTTTAAAAATTATTGATAAATTTTATTAAATTAAATTTTAGAATGTTCATTCTCGTTATAAGAATAAAAATTAATTAATTTACAAAATTAAGTCAAATAAAGTTATCACTTTTATTTTGTTCAAATTTTATTAATTAAATTAAATTATAAGAAAATTTTTAAAAAATACTTCAAATAGAATGTAATTTTAAATTTAGTAAATAATTTAAAAGGGGCGAAAAAAAAGCTTTAAAAACAATATAAGTTTAGACTAAATTATCTTTTGTTTTTACCATTTATACTTTTAGATTTTACCTTTAAAGTAAAGTGTATTTAAAAAAAAAAAAAAAAGAACCTTTAAGAAAGTATATTCATGTAGTAAAAATATTATTGAGACTTTTAGAGATGTATAAAATAAACTAAGCTGACTTTATTTTGAAAATAAAAATAGAAAATTTTCGATTCGAAACCAGACTAGGAAACCGCGGTTAACCGACAGTTCAGAGTTGGTTCAGATTCAGATTTTAACATTCACATAAATCTTAACTGGCCTGAACTGTCGATTTGGTTCAAAACTTAAACCGCCAATTGTCAGTTTTAAAACTTTGGAACCGACGGGTTTTAAATCCGGTTATGATTCCGTATTCATTCTACATACGATTCAGGTTTCGGTTCAAAATGATGCGGTGGCTATGGCCTAAAACAAGAAAGGGAACGTGTGGTAGAATGAGGATAGGATA